GAGCATTTGGGCAAGTCACTTCCTCTCTGTGGTGTTTGTTTCTTCATCCATAAGTGGCAGGGCCCAACTGCAGCACATGACAGGCTTGAGGAGCCCTCGGGGCACAGAGAGCCCCATCAGCTGTGGCAGGTGGCAGGTCTAGTGAGCAATACTGAAGGGAAGAGCCAAGGTGATGTGGGGCGACTGTGCAGGCCTGGCTGGGTCTAGGGGTGTGGGGTGGGGTGGCTGTGCAGGCCTGGCTGCGTCTAGGGGTGTGGTGTGGACCCCTCACCTGTGGTGGTGCTGTTGATGTATGATGATGCCTCCTCAGCAGGGGCTCTGGTTCCCAGAGAGGCAGAGCAGAGCAGGGGAGGGCCGGGTGCTAAAGAACTCTACCATAGAGGCAGATGATGTTTTGCTGACATTTAAAGTCATATGATGTTTTGGTGCCACCTCGGAGAAGCCACCCTGACCTAGCCTGGTGAGGGCCCCAGGCTGTGGTTCCTGGGTGGCAGTGTTCCGCTTGAGGTTCCTGGAGGCTTCTGGGTTATGCTTCCAGCTCCTTGAATAGCACTGTCCACAAGGCTGTCTGCACCCAGTCCCCAGGTCTCTGACCTTGGCCAGTGCCCTTTAGTGCAGGAATAGGAACTTGAGAGAGGCCAGACTCTTCTTAGGGAGAGCAGTCGGTTCCTGTTTCCCAGCCCTAGCCTGTCCAGCAATGAGTTTGACCATCACCATTCCTCAGTCAGCTGACCTCAGTAGGTACTCTTGACCTTGGCTTAGGCAGCACTTTTGAGAGACAGCAAGCAGCATGGCTAAGAGAAGAGTGGAGAGCCTAGCTGAGAGTGGAGAGCCTGGCTGAGGATGGAGAGCATGGCTGAGGATGGAGAGCATGGCTGAGAGTGGAGAGCAGGGCTGAGAGTGGAGAGCAGGGCTGAGGATGGAGAGCAGGGCTGAGAGTGGAGAGCCTGGCTGAGGATGGAGAGCATGGCTGAGGATGGAGAGCATGGCTGAGGATGGAGAGTAGGGCTGAGGATGGAGAGTAGGGCTGAGGATGGAGAGCATGGCTGAGGATGGAGAGCAGGGCTGAGAGTGGAGAGTAGGGCTGAGGATGGAGAGCATGGCTGAGGATGGAGAGCAGGGCTGAGAGTGGAGAGCAGGGCTGAGGATGGAGAGCAGGGCTGAGGATGGAGAGCAGGGCTGAGAGTGGAGAGCAGGGCTGAGGATGGAGAGCAGGGCTGAGAGTGGAGAGTAGGGCTGAGGATGGAGAGCATGGCTGAGGATGGAGAGCAGGGCTGAGAGTGGAGAGCAGGGCTGAGGATGGAGAGCAGGGCTGAGGATGGAGAGCAGGGCTGAGAGTGGAGAGCAGGGCTGAGGATGGAGAGCAGGGCTGAGAGTGGAGAGCAGGGCTGAGGATGGAGAGCATGGCTGAGAGTGGAGAGCATGGCTGAGGATGGAGAGCATGGCTGAGGATGGAGAGCATGGCTGAGGATGGAGAGCATGGCTGAGAGTGGAGAGCATGGCTGAGGCTGGAGAGCAGGGCTGAGAGTGGAGAGCAGGGCTGAGAGTGGAGAGCATGGCTGAGGCTGGAGAGCTGCCTTGCCCAATAGACAGTGCAAGAGCAGGTTGGGAATATGGTTCCATGATTCAAATGCTCGCTGTGCAAGCCTAATGCCCTGAATTGAGATCTGCAGAACACAGGTAAAAACCTGGTGATGTGGGCTGGTGACACGGCTCAGTGAGTCAAGGTTCCTGCCCCCTATTCTGACATCCTGAATTCAGGTTGCACATGGTGGAAGGAGAGATCAGACTCTTGAAAGTTGTTCTCTGAGTATGTACATGCACACATGCATGTGTGCGTGTGCACACAAGTACAGTAAACAAACAAACAAACAAACCTGGATGCAGTAGTTTATGTGTGTGTGCTGCCATGCTCCACCTGAGGATGGGAGGTAGAGACAGGAGAGTTTGTGGAGTTTGTGGAGAGTGGTGGAAGTAGGCTAAGCTGCTAGCCTGGTGGGGAACAATGAGAGGCTGTCTTAAGGTGGTAGGTAAGGACACATGCCCAGGGCTGCCCTCTGATCTCAACACATGCATCATGGCATGCATGTGCACATGCTCACACATGTGCATGCACTCACAACATCACACACATGCATGAGTGAAAGAGTAGGCATATTGGCACACTTCTGTCAGCCCAGCACTCAGGAGCCTCAGTAGTAGAGGCCTTGCCTAGCATGTGCAAGGTCCTGGGTTTGATCCCATGCAAAACAAAACAAATACGAGCAATGGATTTTAACATTTTTATTTTTGGAATATGAGTGTTTTGCCGGCATGTGTGTATGTGTATTACTTGTGTGCCTGGTGCCTGAGGAGAGCAGAAGACCTGGGCATGGAGTTCCCTGGAACCGGAGCTGACAGGTGGTTGTGAGCCACCATCTGGGTGCTGGAAACTGAATCCAGGTCCTCTGTATGAGCAACAAGTGCTCTTAACAGTTGAGTCATCTATCTAACTCCTGTTTTTAAATTTTTAAATATCATCATCATCATCACCACCACTACCACCACCACCATCACGGTCAGGTTGTTCTGTAGCCCAGGCTGGCTTCAGACTCACTGTGTACCCAAAGCTAGTGAATTCTTGATCCTCCTGCCTCTGGTTCCCATGTGCTGGGATTCTAGGTGTGTGCTACCATTCCTGGCTTCACGTTGCTTTAGTAGTGTTTTAAACCCAAATAGCCCCCAATATTATTATTCATCATGGAATCAATAGCAAGACACTGAGATATTTTCATTCTTTTTCTCTTTCACTCTCTTCAAAATCCCATGTATTCAGAATTCAGTGCTCCTCATTCTGGGGGTCATGTTTCAAATGTTCAAAGCCACGGATGGCTGTGCCAGCTACTGCCCTGGCCAGGGCAGGCCTAGATATGTTGAGATGTCACCTTCCTGGCTGTGTGACTTTGGAAAGTCACTCCGCTTCCTTGTACTCTTGTTTTTATCTCAGAATCCCTGGAGGGTTGTTAGAGGGATATTTGTCCTTACAGGTCATGGTGAGGGATAATGAATTGAAGGGTAGAGATGCTAGGCAGAGGCGTGCTCTTCGCCTTTTTTTTTTTTTTGGATAAGGTTTCTCTATGTAGCCCTGGCTGTCCTGGAACTCACTCTGCAGCCCAGGCTGGCCTCGAACTCAGAGATCTGCCTGCCTCTGCCTCCTTTCACTCATAGTACAGAAGGATCCCCTGGGGCCCTGGCCAACCAATATTGGCTGACAGAAGTGTGCCAATATGCCTACTCTTTCACTCATGCATGTGTGTGATGTTGTGAGTGCATGCACATGTGTGAGCATGTGCACATGCATGCCATGATGCATGTGTTGAGATCAGAGGGTCCACACTTTACCCAGAGTACCAGTTACTTAACATTCATTTTAGAGGCTGGAGAGACGGCTCATCGATTAAGAGCACCGGTTGCTCTTCCAGAAGACCCAGATTTGATTCCAAGCACCCACATAATGACTCACAACTGTCTGTGACTCCAGTCTCAGGAGACCTGACACCTTCTTCTTGCCTCCTTTGGCATCGCAGACATAGGGTGCACAGACATACAAGCACGCAAAATACCTATACACGGAAAATAATAAAATCTTTAAAGTTTTGTCTTAACAATGCTCACTTTAAAATCCCAGCCCTGGGGAGTCAGCTGCCCATAAAGTGCCACATAAGCAGGAGGACCTGGGTTCCATTCCTATTTACCTTAGCAAGCTCCAGGACACTTGGCTGGGGGGGGGGGAGCAGGGACATAGTACAGAAGGATCCCCTGGGGCCCTGGCCAACCAATATAGCCTAATTAGTGAGAGAGAGACTTTGTCTCAGAAAACAAGGTGGATGTCTCTTGAGGAGTGATCCTTGAGATTGACCCCTGACCTTCACACACCACGGCATGCACTTACACCAGCACCCGCAGAGGCCATGCTCTCGTACAAACACCCACATAAAGTACCGTGTTTTGTTTTGTTTGTGGGAGGTGTTATTTTGTTTGATTTTTGAGACAGGGTCTAGCTATGTAGGCCAGGCTGGCCTGGTACTTGCCTTGTCCAAGGTGGCCCTCTGTTTACAGCAGTTCTCCTGCCTCAGCCTCCCAAGTCCTGGGATCCAGATGTGCATCACCACACCTGGCTCTGTTCTCAGCAGTGACAGTTGTAGAGTCCACTTACTGTAAATAAATGCTCATGAGTGCTCCCGAAGCCATTGTGCAGAGCCCAGCAGTTCCTAAGACACTCCTGCCCTGACTTTGCTTTGGGCCCCAGGGAGGGGGGTCTGTGTGTTCCATTGTGATCACGACCCCCACCTCGTCGAACCTGGGCCTTCTGAGGCTAGCCTGTTCTCTCCTCCCCTGGGAATCCCCGCCTGGCTCATTTTCCTCAGCCCTTCTAATCTCATGTCCTTGTCCCCGCTGTGCTCCACCTCTGTCTCAGCCTGTTCCGTGGTCCCCACATTCGTGGAGAGTCTTGTGTCCCCGACTCTCCTGTCATGAAAGCATCTTGCCCAAGGAGCACACCCTCCTCCCCACGCCCCGCCCCTGTCACCCCCACCCCGTGCCTCCCTCCCTGGTGCAGTCTCTTAGCAAGACTCCCCTGTAGGAGTCCTACCATTGGGGGGTCCCAACCAGGGAGCCAGTAACCCCAAGCCCCTTAGTAACTGCATGTCTCACCTCTTGCGGTACCTCACCGTTCCAACCCACACCCTCTCCTGGAAGGACTTTCTGGGGTCTGGCTCCGTGGCAGCATCCTGGTACCCTGGAACCCTCTCTCTGCCAGCTCTCTCTCTCTCTCTCTCTCTCTCTCTCTCTCTCTCTCTCTCTCTCTCTCTCTCTCTCTCTCTCTCTCTCTCTCCCTCTCTCTCTCTCTTCCCCTGTCTTTGGTTTGCCCCACCCTTCTCCTCTCCCTTTCCCCGTCCTCTCTCTCCTCCCCCTGGCATCACTTCCCTCATGAGTTTTCTCCCACACCTCTTTCCCTGCAGCATCCACCTCAGAGCACCATGAGGAGCCTTCGGGAATAGGAACAACCTCTCCAGAGGCCCGGGTGAACGTGGTGGCCGGTAAGTGGGGAGCTGGGGTCCTGAGGTGGGAGTTTCATGGAGGCTGAAACCTGGGGGTTTTTATTCTGTTTGGGGAGCTGAATTTGTGGGCAGAAGATGAAGCCTGAGAACTCAGTAGAGCCTCCCCAAGGGGCTCTGAGAGGAGAGGACCAGGCTCCAGGCTGGTTTGCTGGGTGCCAACTGATTGGTGTTTCCTCCTTGCTCGTTGAGTTTTGATCTCTTTCTCATTCCAGTGCTCTTAATGATGATCATAGCCCTCTCCTCCTTTAATTTGTTTTTTTTTGGGGGGGGGAGGGGGGACAGGGTTTCTCTGTGTAGCCCTGGCTGTCCTGTAACTCACTTTGTAGACCAGGCTGGTCTTGAACTCACAGAGATCTGCCTGCTCCTGCTTCCTGAGTGCTGGGATTAAAGGCGTGCACCACCATCTCCCGGCTTTTAAATGCTTATTTTGTTTGTGTGAGTTGGTGTGCGTGTGCCTGTGCGCACACACGTTCTGGTGCCGCAGCATGGATACGGAGGTCAGAGGACACCTTGCAGGAGTCGCTTGTGCCTTCCACCCTAGGGATTGAACGCAACACCGTTATCCACTGTGTCCCACATTCTTTTGAAATAGAGTTTGTTTTGTGGGGTTTGTGGCGCAGAATCAAAAAGAAGGATCTGGAAAGATCCTGTCTTCCGAGCTGCCATGTATCGGCTAATGTAGCTTTTTGTTTGTCTACTTGGATGTGTGTGTTCATGTTTTTTGTTCATTTTGCTTTTGTTTTTCTTTAGCCCAGATGTTTATATAATGATGCTCTGCACCTTGCTTTTCTGATTGAACATACATTTTTTAGTTTGTTTGTTTGGTTTTTGAGACAGGGTTTCTCTGTGTAGCCCTGGCTGTCCTGGAACTCGCTCTGTAGACCAGGCTGGCCTCGAACTCACAGAGATCTTCCTGCCTCTGCCTCCCGAGTGCTGGGAATATACATCTTTAACATCAGTTTATATAAACTTTAGAGCCTAGCCTACTTTCAGTTTGGAAATTGCTTCCAGGTTCTAGTTCAGCCCCGGAAGACATCACTTCTTATACTGTTATGCTGTTGAGGGCTGTTGTACCCAAGGACTCCAAGGGCATTTGTTTATGTCTTTCTATTGAATGACTTTTTCTTTTAAAACTCACATAACTGAACATTAGCTGACAGAGTACATAAAATGAATCATCTTCTTCCACACCAAAGCAGTTTTCCAGGGAGGCTGAAGTTTTGTGTTCAAGTCCATTCTAGGATTCGGAAGGGGGAGTGGAGGCGGGCAGGCGGTCTGAGCAATGTATGTGCAAGGTTATACGGTTAGTTGATTTTTCAAAAATAAGACATTCTTGTGTTCTTTTTCCCCAGAAGATCATCCAAATGACACAAGCTTTAGGCCCTGTGAGTTGTGTTTCTGTTCCTGTTCCCTCATGACCCCTCAGCCCTTAACTTCTTTCATTTGAGGAGATCTCTGGTGTGGCCTTGCCTCCTGTCTCTGTGGAGACACATCTAAGCGTTTAACTAAGTACCACACTCATCCTGGCACTCAACTTGCCATTACTGTTGCTGGCTTTTCTTGTTTGGAAAAGGCAGGATGTTCAATCCTGTTCTGGACATTTTCTTGCTCCTGTAACAGGGTCATTCATGGCAGTGTAGAAGGACCTTCCTCCTTTTCACAGCCACTGGGTAGTCTATTGAATGACTACCCCATAATTTAGTCATCCATTTCCCAACTGACGGACATTTCGGTTATTTCCATCTTCCGTAATCCACACAGTTTGGTAGGTGATAAGCATTTATAGACGCTGCTTTGGATGGGTGCCAGTAACACTGCAGGACAAATGCCTGTATTTGTGTTTTGACCCAGAGTCGCTAGGTCAAAGGGCAGTGGCAGAGGGGCTCTCCTAGTGACTGTGACATTGTGTTCTCTGAAGGCACCCCTGCCATCAGGGAGGAGGCGCCCTACCCCATGACCACTGCGTGTGCTTTCAGGTTGTTAGTGTTGGCAATGTGATGGACGGAAGGCAGGGTTGTACTTCTGTGTTCTGTTGAGTTCCTTGACCTGTGTTTAAAGACTGTGTGTGTTTTCCTTCCTCTGAACTTCTCTGTTCAGATTATCCCCCACCCCCACCCCCTTCTCGCTCTTGGTGTCTGTTGCTGTGATAAACACCATGACCAAGAGCAACTTGGGAAAGAAAGGGTTTGTTTTATCTGACAGCTTACATCATGAAGGGAAGTCAGGGCAGGAACTCAAGGCAACAACCTAGAGGCAGGAACTGATGCAGAGGCCATGGAGGGGGGCTGCTTACCGGCTTGTTCCCCATGGTTTGCTCAGCCTGCTTTCTAATAAAACCCAGCAGCACCTGCTCTGGAGTGGCACTGCTCACAGTGGCCTGGGCCCACTCACCTCAATCATTCATCAAGAAAATGTCCCGCAGACTTGCCCACAGGCCAATCTGATGGAGGCAGTTCCTCATTTGACATCCCTCTTCTCAGTGACTCTAGCTTGTGTCAAGTTGATAAAAAACTGAAAAATGTGCTCACACTCGTGTGCCTGCTTGCCCACTTGTTCTCTCTCTCTCCCTCCCCCTTTTCATGTGCCTGGTGCTTAAAGAGTCCAGAAAAAGGTGTCGGCTCCCTGGGGACTGGAGTTACAGACCACTGTGAGCCCCCATGTGGGTGCTGGGAATCAAACCTGGGGCCTTTGGAAGAGCAACCAGTTCTCTTAGTCACTGAGTGAGCTCTCCAGCCCCACATCCAGGCCTTTTTAAAAAAAGATCCCTCAGTAACACCTCAGACTTTTAGTGGTTTTTCTACCTGCCCGCCTTCTTGTGTGAGGAAGTTTTTAACCCTTGCTGGGACCTTCTGTCCCTCACTGTCTCCTCCTCCTCGAGGGGATCAGCCCAGCACCCCGGCCTCCGGCTGTGTCACACCACACCAAGGTGTGTATGCTTCTCATGTTCGTTCTTGTTTTTTCTGTTCTGTGAGACTCTTGTGAGTATTTCATCCTGGATCCTACCTGGTTTCTGCACAGAAATAGGGGTTTCTATTGTGTTAACTTGGAACCCAGTGATCGTCCTGAACACTTCTATTAGTGTTAATAACAGTGTCTCAGACTGCTTGGACGCCCATCTCAAAACTCAAATTGGTAACTATGGATAGTTTATCTGTCCTGGTGTGTGTGTGTGTGTGTGTGTGTGTGTGTGTGTGTGTGTGTGTGTGTGTATTGGTTTTTTGAAGACAGAGTTTCTCTGTGTAGTCTTGGCTGTCCTTGTAGATTAGGCTGGCCTCGAACTCAGAGATCTGCCTGCCTCTGCCTCCTGAGCACTGGGATCAAAGGCATGAGGCCGCCACTGCCCAGCCTGATTTATATTTTCAAACCTCTTTCTTATCTGTGATGCCTAGAACTCTCAGAGCAATGTAGATAATAAACACAATAATGAAGTGGATATCTCTGTCTTGTTCCCGACTGTAATGGGAATTGTTTTCAAAGCTTTATTTGTATTTATGTCTGTATGTGTGTGTTCCTGGTTATTGGCATGTGCACCACATGTATGCAGGTGCCTTCAGAGGCCAGAAAAGGACACTGGGTCCCCTGGAAGTAGAGTTACAGGTGGTTGTAAGCCATCCAACATGGCTGCTGGTAACCTCTGAGCCATGTCTCCAGCCCCTGTAACTGGAATTTTGTATTATTGTGTGGGTATATAAGGTTTGTTTAAGGAAGTATCAATCTTTTAAGTAAGCTTTACTGTCGCCTCTTCTGTGCTGTGGGGTGACCAGGTGGCTGTGCCCTTTGGACCTGTTAGTCATCTCTTCCTCTCTTCCTTGGACTCTCAGCAGCTCAGAGGCTCCTGAGTTCTTGATATGTGTGTCGGGGGGTTCCCGTTGTCCAGTGCCATCTTGGTGTGTGTGTGGGTTCCCATTGTCCAGTGCCATCTTGGGGTGTGTGTGTGTGTGTGTGTGTGTGTGTATGTGTGTGTGGTTCCCATTGTCCAGTGCCATCTTGGGGTGTGTGTGTGTGTGTGTGTGTGTGTGTGTGTGTGTGTGTTTCCCATTGTCCAGTGCCAGGCTGTTTTGATGACTAAGTCAATGAACAAATGAATGCGCTCTCTCTCTCTCTCTCTCTTGCTCTCTGCTTTGGTGGCAGGGGAGGGGCTTGCACAGAAGACCAGGAGGCTGTGTGATGTGGGCTTTTCCCCCTCAGGAGCTTTTCTTCAGGGACATGGACGGAGGTGGAGCACGCCGAGACCAGCCGTGATGCCCTTTGACCCCACATGCTCACTGAGCCTCCAAACCTGGTCCTCCCCGGGGGAAGTGCCTCGGAGGGATTGGGCCCTGTAGTCTTGAAGAGACAGTGGGGATGGAGTGTCTTGTCCAGCACCAACCATGCTGTTTTCCAGTCTCAGAGCAGTAGCTGAACCTGTAGGTTGGGGGTATGATGGCTGTAGAGGATATGATATGCTAAGGAACCTTGAACTAGATGCTAGGGTCACAGGCACCCTCAGAGGCCGAAAACCAGGGCATTCAGTCAGGCCTAGTGTATGGGCACAGTGTGGATGTGCAAGAATAAAACTCAAATTGGATATGGTGCATACCTGTAATCCCAGTGCTCAGAAAGCTGAGACAGGAGGATTAATTTAAGTTTCAGGCTAGCCTGGGCTATATAGTGAGTTTAGGACTCAAGGCCAGAGCCAAAGAGGCACAAGGTGAAACCCTGTCTCAAAGCACCAAGAATAAAAGAATAGAGTTTGAGTTCATGGCATGAGGGGTTCTGGGGCTTTCGGATTTCAGCATTCAAGGCTTTCATCTTTTGAGGATTGCAGTTTCTGGGATTTGGGGCTTTAGATTTTGATTTTTTAGAATTCTGTATTTGAGATTATGACATTCAGGCTTGTGACTGGCACGTCATGGATGCTCACAGAGGGACATTGCTGGCCATGGCTGCTGGGTTGCTGTGCCCCTCACCCATGACCTCTTATTTCAGGTCTGAGCCTGGCCCTGGGCCTCTGCTGCCAGAAGCCATGGCAGAAAGCAGCGATGCCGCTCTGTCAGTAGCTGAGTGGCTTCGGGCGCTGCACCTGGAGCAGTACACGGCCCTCTTTGAGCAGCATGGACTGGTGTGGGCCACCGAATGCCAAGGCCTCAGTGATACCATCCTGTTGGACATGGGCATGCACCTCCCTGGCCACCGCCGCCGAATCCTGGCTGGTCTGCTCCGTGCCCATGCACCCCCCGCCCCCGTGCCTCGTCCTGCCCCGCGGCCTGTGCCCATGAAGCGGCACATCTTCCGTTCACCGCCTGTGCCCGTCACTCCACCTGAGCCGCCGCCCACGGCTGGAGAGGATGAGGGCCTGCCTGCGGCCCCGCCTATTCCACCCCGAAGGAGCTGTCTCGCACCTGCCTGCTTCACTCCCCCATCCACAGCTTCCGCGGACCCTGTGCTGCCCCCACTGCCTGCCAAGCGACACTCCATAGAACCAAGTGTTCCTCCTGTACCTCCTCGCACTGGACCCCCCTACCCACAGACCAGGTGAGTGCTACATCCCTGCTGGTGAGTGGAAGGTCCTAGAGTGCAGAAGGAGCCAGGGCTGGAGGAGTGACTCCGACTGCTGTTGAGGACACAAGCTTAGAGTGTAGGGAGCAGCGCCAGGTTTAGGGCAGGCAGGGCAGAGTGGGGTGAGGTGTGGGCCCGAGGATGGCCGGGGCTTGAGGACACCTGGGTATATGCAGAGAGGGTAGGGGAGCCACAGTGGCCCCCAGGTGTCTATCCCAACAAATGGGTGGTGCCGCCATCACGGAGGTTGCCCCAGTAACAGAAGAAAGTTTGGGAGGCGTCTGAGTTCGCTGGAGCACCTGGCCTGTGAGATACTGTGGGGGATCAGGGTGTACCCTCGCACTAGGAGGTGATGTGTGCTGGGATGATGGCTCAGGTGTGGGGGTGGGGGTGCTTCTGTCTGCCATACTACGCCCCCCACCCAGGCTGTGCTCGACAAATCTCACCAAATCCCAAGACCTCTCTGAGCCTCTGCCTGCTTGCTCTCCCTCCTCTTCAGAATCCCTTCTCCTCTCCCTGGCTCCTCTCCTCCTTGTTTTCCTGAGCTTTTTCCTCTTTCCGTGGACATTCCACTTACTCTTCCTTCCAGCTGTTTGCTCCGTGCCAGGGGAGAAGCCTCTAAAGACAGGGAAGCTGTATGTTTGGGAGTAATGGCATTCTGACATTCCGCTGGGTTTTTTGAAGGGATGTGCTGAGAGAGGTCTCTTGTCCTTCTCATGGTTGGACAGTTTTGGGGGATCTTGTTGATCCCTTCAGCAAGCCTTCTATGGAGGGTGGGGATTGTGTTCTGATTTCAAGCTGGGTAAGTCAGACTTAGGGCACGGAGGGAGGGACTAGCTGGGTCCATGCAGAAACTCATTGCGGGATGGGCAGTCCTGTGGGGCAAGTCTGGAGGTTTTCTCCACTTAGAGAGGAGCACTGAGTCAGGGGACCTTCTGGACCAAGCCAGGTCTAAGGTTATGAGTTTTAATGGATGGAAATTAGAGATTTCGTGGGCTGGAGATTCAGGTTCTTGGTGCTACTGCCCCCTCCAGTGGCCATTCTCCCGCATGCAGGAGAAACATTTATTTGAGAGAGGGCCATGGCCGAGTCAGAATTGTTGGAATTTAGAGTACCCTAAACTCACCATTCCACATCCCTTCTCTCCTTCCTTCTCCCCAACCAGGGTCACCCTCTGGAGATGTTTTAGGAAGGGAGAGGTCTTCAGAAGAGGCCGATGGAAGGAATTCAGATGGGATAGGATTTTAGGCCAAGGTGTAAGCCAATCAGGAAAAGCAAGGATGGGTTCCTGCCCTCTGCCCTCCGCCCTCGGGACCTGGTGCCCTGTCTGAACTATCTGGACCTTCCTTACGTGGTTCTCCTGACATTTATATCTGTTTGGGGAACTTGCAGGGTAGAATAAAAACCATATCCACAGCCCAGGGCCCCAGGAGACTAGGTCCCAATCTCAGAGCTACAGTCTGAACATAGGTACTTGGGGAAGTTAAGGCCCCTCAGTAAAACATCTGGCCCCTCAGTAGGCATGGGGTGGGAGGGTCATAAAATGGTGTAGTACTTGCAAGGAACCTGTGTGCATTCTCCGGGCTTTTTGCTTTGTTTTGTTTTTTGTTCTTCTGTGCTTTAGGGATCGAACTCAGGGTCATGCACATGCTAGGCAAGCACTCTACCGCTGACCCATGTCCCCAGCCCCATTCCTTTACTGCAGATCACCTTGACGTCACTTACAGTGCCAATACACCGTAAATGCTGTGCAGATAACTCTCATACTGGATTGGTTAGGGAATGGGGACAAAGAGAAAAATCTATGTGTTCTCAAATTGATGTGGATTTGCTTCACGTATTTTAGTTGGCAGTTTATTGGATCTATGGATGTGGAACCATAGGTTGCAAAGAACCTTCTTTGATCCCCACAGTCTGGGACCATTCCTCAGGGCAGAGTGGTGCCAGTCCTGGCGTCCTGTGCCCTGGGGATGTAGCATTAGGAGTCATGGGCATCTGTAGTCCTCAGCTCATGGATATACAAAGTCTTTAGGCTTTTATTTATTCATTTATTTTTTTATGTGTGTGTGGGTATTTTGCCTGTTTGCCTGTCTGTACACTGCATGTATAGGTATACATATGCACATTAGGCCAGCTGTCGGGGTGGTTAACGTGTCTGTGTACTTGCATAGTTGTGCTGGATCTGCGGGTAGCCATGCTTGATCCTGATAGGTACAGGATCCGTGCAGTTTCAACGGTGACAGGCCCTGCGTGTGTGAGCTCATCGGGGCTGAATAGACATATACACGTGCCCACGGCTACTGCTGCTGTGGGGGTTGCCGTGCCGGGCTGTATTATTAGTAGCGTGCAGATGCTGTTTGGGTAAGTGAGTTGGCACATTTATTGTTTGTGTACTGGCAAGTGTGAGTCACTGTGCACATATGTGTGTGCATATGCTGCCAAGAGCCCGAGCTCTTAGAATGTCAGCTCTCCTAGAGTCCTGGGATCATTGTCAGTTTCCTTTACTGTCGAATCCTCTGGCAGGGCTGGGGATCTAATAGGCCCTTCGTACATGTCCTGGGGGTGAAAGGTCAGTGCCGCCAGGAGCTTTCATGCTGCAGGTGCTGAGCTTGGGTGCCTGGAGATGAAGTGAGCAGGCCTCAGCCCGTACTGGCTGTGGATCTAAAGGGCCCTGAGCTTATCACTTCAACCCTTTGCCCTAATCCATGTCATACCACCCGTTGTGGGAAGGAGACACCTTCAGAGGAGCTGATGGACAAAGTAAGAAGCTGATAGGATCCAAGGCCACAGACAAAGGTGTAAGCAAACCAGAAAACCAGCAAGGATGGAGCTTTCTGCTTGGCCAGGTTGAGGGCTTTCAGAGCCAGGCTTACATGTGGCATGGGAAGACCCCACTTCACCTCCGAGTCTGTGATACAGTCTGGCATTTCAGCCTGTGGCCATGAACTGGCTGAGGGGGTCTGGGGCTCAAAGATACCCCACCCTGGAGGGGAACCAGCATTCAGATCCTGCCTCCTGGCCTTGTCCCTGTCCACTCAGCTTCAGGTGTCAGAGACAAACCCTCTGAACTTGCTTCTCAGGGGTCATAGAGGAATCGCTTCTGATCAAGGGTCCCAGAGGCACTCCACACAGCGCCTTCCAACTCTCTGTGGGTCTCGGCTTCCTCCTCTGGGACTTGGATGCCTTGAGATATTTGCGGGGAAGGAAGTATTTGCCCAGAGTGGGCAGCTACCAGGCTGGAGTCATACCTTGGAAGGTTTCCCTTCTGTGCTGTGAATGCCTTGCAGCCTAGCCAATCGTTGGCCTTTCTGGGGCTGATCACCTGTTGCTAGGGCAGAAACCGTTCCCTTTGGAGAGCCTGTTTTGCAGCCTCTTTGGGCATCCTTCAACGGGTGGGGACTGGGAAATCCACCATAAGGGCTAGCTAGAATCAGGGTTTCCTGGACATTCATCCTGTGAGGCCTCAGGGGACCAACAGATGGGGCTAATTGCCCCATTTTAGTTTAGACGGTACTGGTGTGGGCCAAGGGGTGGGGAGGAAGTATCTGCCCCAGGGGATTATGGGTGACTTTTCTCTCTCAGTGTTTTCAGGAAGTGTGTTGGCCCAGGCTGAAGGGGGTGGGGATAGGAGAGCGGAGAGCAGGAAGCAAAGACTACAGCTGGACACGGACACACACACACACACACACACACACACACACACACACACACACACATGCACACGCACGCACGCACGCACGCATGCTCACTCTCTCTCGCAGATTTATGATTATATTCAGAAACACACACACACTTAGAGAAGTGATCTACACACATTCAGAGACATCCCTGGGGCTCACACCTGCAAGGGAACAGGACTTAGGCACAGCTGGCAGCAATAGGGACTCGGGCCACAAGACCAGCCCCGGGCCCACATAGGCTTCCAGGGGCAGACACAGGCCGCCTTGGCAGGCTTCCATCCACCTGGCTGGAGCCTCAGGAGATCTTAGGCCCAGGATTCAGCAGGCCTCTGAGGGTGAGTGAGGTGCAGCCCTGGCCAGGATGTTGGACAGGTGGGAGGCCTGGGAGTCCCTCTTGGGCTGCCACTCTGAGCTGCTTTCCCAGCGTGCTCTGGTGCCCCTTGGTTTGCTCAGAGTTTTCTTTTACATTCTCCACTGCTCCAGTTTTTTTTTACTGCCCTTTTCTAACACCCCTCCCCCTCCTCTTTCCTTCTCTCTGGGTTTTCAGGTCAGTGTCTCCCTGTCAGCCTCTCCTGGATCTACTAGGGACTCCAGTACCTGTTTTCTGGTCCTTTGTCGGACCGCCACACCGACTGTGGTCGTGTGTGTGTGTGTGTGTGTGTGTGTGTGTGTGTGTGTGTGTGTGTGTGTGTAAGAGGAGTCTCTGCTCTTTGGGCCTCTGGTGCCCACCCATTCTATTCTGTCACCAATTTCCAGTTCCCTGCACCATCAAGAAGTTCCCTTGGGGAGATTTAGGAGAGCTTGTGCACTGTCAGACTCAAGACTGCTTGCTGTGCGTCTAAACCCCTTACCCCCAGCCCGAGGTGACAGGGATCTACCTGCCGAGGACTGGCATTTCATTTGTGTGGGTCCTCCCCTGCTTGCCAGGTTTGTTAATTGGTGGGTACATGTTGATTATGAGGTTGACCTTCCCTCTTTCCAGTTACGAGAAATCCCCAATGAACCCAGCACCCTTTGGGTCAGAGGAGGGTCCTGGAACTGTCTGAAAGCTCCCCAAGGGCTGACCTGTTCTTCTTGTCCCCAGGGAGAAGGTAGGACTAGGCCCAGGAGGTGCCGAGAGCAGAATGGTGTATAGATGCTGCCTGCCTCCTGTCCACCACAACAGGACTAGTCTGTGAGGCAGCTCGGCAGGAGTCAGACCGGAGAGTGTGTGGAGGGCCGAGTGGGCTGTGTGAACTAAAGTGGGGGAGTGTTTGGGTGGGTTTCCTGGAGGAAGAAGTGTGTTTTAAGCATAAGGGAATTGGTTTGTGGTCATTCCATGTAGAAAGCCCCAGCAGTGGCCTGGCCCACAGTGGTGCTTAGCAAAAGGAGCCCCTGACCCAGGAAGAAGTGCCCTGGGCTGTGGGGCCTTGGTTGTGTGCTGAACTCTAACTAGGTGCCGTTGAAGGGTGGACTGGGGGCTGTGGCCTTTCCAGAGCAGGATGCTGGCAGGGTAGCTGTTCAGGGCAGCCCCTTTGTGTTCAGTGACACATAGGCCGCAGACCTCCGTTCTAGCAAAGGGAGCCTGACAAGAACTTTGTGCATTGTGGCCTGGGCAGAAGTGAGTAGGACAGAGGCAGGGCTTTCTGCTGCAGCAGCCCCAAGGTGGAGGAGGAAGGACAGAATTGACATGGAGGAAGCAAGGAGTGCAGGACCGGGACCCAGCTGCTGAGGAGGAAGTGGGCAGCTGGGAAAGTTTACCACTGGAAGGGGCCACCGGGAAAAACTGATGTCTCCAGATCACTGGGCCTGGCCTCCTCTTGCAGCTGTGCTGGTGAGGGTCCTAGGATTGGCCTGGGACCCTTGAAGGTCCATGTAACATTTTAGGGGGAAGATTCTGACTCTGGGGTGAGATGTCCTCTGAGGTCATCTCAGTGAAGCAAACACTGAAGGATATAGCCATACAGAATGATCAGAAGTATGGAGGTGGTCTGGAGAGGTGGCTCAGTGGTTAAGAGCACTGGCTGCTCTTCCAGAGTACCTGAATTCAATTCCTAGGACCTGCATGGTAGCTCACAAACCATTTGTAATGTCAATTCCAGGGGGTCTGCTGCCTTTTCTGACAACTGTGGGCACCTGCATGCAAGCAGTGCACTCTCATACACACACATAAACTTCCGTAAGTAAATCTTAAAAAGAAAGAAGTAGTATAGAGGGTGGGGGAGCCCTAAGGAAACCCCTGAGAAACCTGAGGCACAAGGAAAAGCTCATAGTAGGGGTGGAGGATGTGGGATGTGTGCCTCTTAAGAGAGTAGGAATGTGGCCAGACAGGGACAGGGATTTGAGGTGAAAGGAACGCTTTATGTAAAGGCTTTGAAGTGTATGTGTATAGACTGCAGCTTGGGGTTGTAGAGATGGCCCAAAAGTTAAGTGTGCATCCTGCTCTAGCAGAAGACCCAAGTTTGGTTCACAGTTCCCAACCACTTGTAACTCCAGCTCCAGGGTGTCCTCTGGCACTCATGTGCGTATACCTCTACACAAACATGCACATACATACAATTTAAAGGTAAATGAATATTTATAGATTTCAGATTAGCTTTTTATAGCAGCTGGGGAATGAGTGGATAGGGAATGGGGACTTAGTCCCAAGTCAGCTTGACATTTAGGCTGCCCCTCTCTGTACTCCTCCTGCCCTCAGAGTGAGTCTTGGTTTCTCTGGCTGCAGGAGGCTATAGACAGATGTGTTGGGAGGGGAGCACAGGGCATTTGGAGGGGAAGGCTATAATGCAGCTTATGGCCTGGCCTCTGGGGCTGAGGCTCCTTTGGCCACAGCCTAGGTAAAAAACTGTGCTGTAACTGTGCAGTGTAAGTAAGCTTGCAGGCTAGTCAGAGTTTGGGAAACTGAGACTCAGAGGTGATGACTGAGCTCTGGGAATCAAACCCAGATCTGCCTGCCTCCAAACTGGAGCAGTCACACATCTCACTGTGCCCAGGACGGGCTCTTTTTGCACCTATTGCCCCTAATAGTTATTAGCAGAGCCTTAAGTTTCTGGTTCACACCATTAGTGTCGGGGTCATTCTAATCTTATCTACTTAGATTTGGGGTCCTCATATATCCCCCAGCCCTGGGTACAAGGTCCTGTGATACTTCCCCTGACCTGTAAGGTCAGACTTGTTGGGCTCAGGACCCAGGCTGAGGTGGATCAACCCTGTTCTGGGTGCCTAGTCTTATTGTGAATGGCATAATAATTAGAACTGTACCCTGGCTAGAGAAAGGACTGAGGGACAGCAAGGCTGGGGTGCAGCTTTGCCTTGCCAGGGCCTGTGGGCTGCATTTTGAGAGACAAAGGGTGCTTCCCTAGGTTGGGAGTGGGGTTAGAAGTCAAAGGAGAAGGAGCAGGGTGAGCAGAGGCCTGGAGGGGCTGTTCCCTAGCGCTTCAGGCTGGGCTGAGGCCAGAGCAGCACTGGATTGGAGAATGGAACAACCTGGGGCTGTTTGTGAGGAGCAGACACCCAAGGGCCGCTTCAGGGGTGCTCCCCAGGCTCTGTTCTCGGTAGGGGATACTGCTCCCTCCCCTGGGGATTTCCCACAAGCTGTGCCTTTCTGACCTCACTTCTCCTTTCCTGGCTCTGGCCCTGACTCAGCAGTACCAGATGCCCTCTGCCAGGCAGTCTGGCTCTCATGGAGGTTTCTTGCTGCCAGTGTTATGAGAGGCCCTGTTGTCTCCCCTCCTGGGACAGATGATAAGGACAGAGGGCACCTGCAGGTAGCGAGCCTCAGGGCAGGCTTGTGGAGCATCAGGACAGTGGTGGAGGTAGACAAGGTGAGGAGGGTTTGTGCTTGCCTGGTCCCAGAGGATGAGGAACAAGTGGGCACCCCTCAGACCCCTTGAGGGAGGAGGCTGGCAGTAGGGAGCCAGGCCCACTTAGACTTTGGCCTTGGAGAATAGGAATCCCTACTTGCCCATAGTTCACGTTCTGCTCTCAGCTGACGCCTGAGCATGGCCTCCACAGCCCCTTCCTCCTGCTGTCTAGAAGCAACTGTGATGGGTTGATTTGCTCATCCAGATGTCTAAGGACATGGCACTGATGATCCGGGGCCAGGCACCAGATCAAGCTGTTGGGCATGTTTGCGTTCAGATGTTTAGTCATCATTTCATCATTCATTCGCTTCCCTTGCAACCAGAACGATCAGCTTGTGAGTCTGTCCACAGATTGGTCCTCCCGTCTGCCACCCACCTGTCTGGCATGCTCTTGTTGCCCACTCAGCCAAGCTCTTCACTCGGCTGTGGGGACCTCGAATCAGATGTTTTCCCTCCTGTGAAGAGACTCGGGGTCAACTCGGGGAGCATCCTGGTGCAGTGCCCGCTAGGGACATCATACTCTCAGTACCACCTCCCCTTGATATCAGCTCCCCAAGAGGTAGACAGGGTATAGAGAACAGCTTGCTACCAGGGTAGCAACAGGGGTCCTGACAGCCATCACGTCACAGTCCACACAGCTGTCTAGCAGCCATTCTTTGTGATCCTTGCAGGTGACAGCTCAGAGGTGGGAGACGGAGGACCAGAGTGGGCAGGTGACTCCCAGGGAGCCAGCCTTGCTTAGAAACTTCTTGTTCCAAGGGGCTCGTGCACCTTCTAGGGGCCCCACAAGTGCGGGTGTTCCCAGTCACTACACTTAGGAGCCCGTACACCAGAGCCTGCTGACAGTTTCTCCTGGTCCCCCTGCAGTTCCCATGCAGGCGACTGTGGCGGTGCTGTGTGGGTAACCGGGCTGCTGTACCACCTTGTGCAGGTCATGACTCCATGGGGAAGCTCCCCGCTGTCTGCATGGTTGCAGTGCAAGCTATGTGGAAACAGCACATTCCAAGAAGCATGTAGTCGTAGAGCTGGGATTCTCTTAGCTTGGATGCTACCAAAGTGTTGGCAGGAGGGACATACTTTGAAGAATATTATTTGGAATGCTTTTCATGTACAGGAGAGAACAGAAGGGTTAGGGAAACGGAAGGGTAGCTGGGGAGAAGTGGTGTAGAGGCAGGGATGCTCCTACGACAAGGAGCAGGGAGAGGGGCACTGGTCATCTTCCCAGACCTCCTTGCGATTACGGCAGTCACATGCTGCTATCCATCGCTGGGAACGCTGGAGAACAGACCGGGCTAAAAGTAATCAGGGTTTGGGAGGAAGCTGCTTGCTCTGCTGCCCCTCTTTAGCCTTTGGCCGATGTGGACAGAGATAGTTGATGGGGCCAGGCCACCAGGCCTCGACAGCCAGCTAGTCTTAACTGCTGGGCACTGAGGATCCTGTGTGTTGGTACGTGACCCACTCTTTCACCCCCTCCGCCTGTGAAAACGGTTCCTACTTCACAGAAGAGGAGACCCAGACCCTGAGTGGTTAGGCACTTAGCCCAGGACACACAGAAATGAAGACACCAAGGTGGGGGTTTGAACCCGTGTCTTGGATGACAAAGCCCTTCAGGAGACATTCATCACCAGGCTAGGACAACATACAGTGGGTGAAGAGAACCTGAGGGAGCTGAGTTCACTGGGAAATAGTGAACTTCTAAATATGGACAGAAAAAGGAGAGGGCCTTGGCCCAGAGACCATAGTCTGGGCCTTAGGAATTAGTTTCTGAAACTGGCCTGTGTCTTCAGCCCTGGCCTCAGTGCCTGTTCCAATCCCATCCTCTCTCTGTCGGCAAATGCCCTATACCCTCCATGGTACATGTCAAGACTTACCTCCCCCTTAATAGCCTTCTCTGCCCCATTCTGGCCTTTTTTTTTGTCAGCATGGAGGTGTACGTGTCTAAAAGCTGGAGCCCTGGGGCCAGGTGACCAGCGTATTTGGGCTCAAGAGGTGCTGCTGAGTGAGCGTGGTTAAGGCTGTGAGAGGCAGGTTGCAGTCTGGGTAGGGAAATGTTTGCCCAGGTGAGCAGGGCTTCAGCGGGTCAGGACCCTGGCTGTTACACACTAACACAGGTGAACTTCAGTGGGTCAGGACCCTGGATGTTACACACTGACACAGGTGAACTTCAGCGGGTCAGGACCCTGGCTGTTACATACTGACACAGGTGAACTTCAGCGGGTCAGGACCCTGGCTGTTACACACTGACACAGGTGAACTTCAGCGGGTCAGGACCCTGGCTGTTACACACTGACACAGGTGAACTTCAGCGGGTCAGGACCCTGGATGTTACACACTGACACAGGTGAACTTCAGTGGGTCAGGACCCTGGATGTTACACACTGACACAAGTGAACTTCAGTGGGTCAGGACCCTGGCGGTTGCACACTGACCCCCAACTTTGTTCTGTTCTCAGCCTTCCCTCTAAGGAGGAGGTATTGCTGCCACAGGTGTCACCCCGTCCCCAACCAGAGCCTTCAGAGACCCTGTCCACCCTCCTGTCTGCCTTCCCCCAGGGGCCTCAGCAGCCTCTGTCTCCGGCTCCCTGTCCTCCTGAGATCCCTCCCAAGCCTCCCCGCCTGCTCCCAGAGTTTGGTGAGTGCTACAGGACAGTTGGGCGCTGGGTGGTCTCCTAGGATCAACCCTGGAGAGTGTGCAGTGGGCATGTTCCCTCTCTGCCTGGTGGCCAGCAGTCCCCTGGGTGTCCTGAGCCTCCTCAGAGAGCACGCTCTTTCTCTCCTCCCTGTCTTCTGCTTGCCAAGCATGAGCATGACTGACCCTTGGGGTAGAATGAAGTTCTGGAGTTGGGGCTGCCACCCCTGGCTTGTCTTGATTCTTCTGGCCTTGTAGGCCTTGTTTGGACAGTCCCCACTCCTGCCTCCAAAGCTTGCTGCCTGGTCAGCCTCCTTGTGGTGGCCCTTCCTTTCCTTCAGTATAAATAGCACTTCCTGTCCCCTGTGCCTTTCTTTTGAAAGTCAGGCCTGGGTGGGGGTGGGAACTATCCTAGCCTAGGAGTGGCCTCTGTAAAACCAAGCCCTAGTGCCCCTTAGAGGAGGTCAAGCTCCTGGCTTCTGAGCCACCCCCTCCCTGTTTTTTTGTTTTTTTTTAACCAGACGACTCTGACTATGATGATATCCCAGACGAGGGGCCGCGGGCCCCAGCCAACGTGATGACCAAGGTGGGCAGGGTGAGTGGTTGGGGTTGCAATGGCTGCCTGTGTTGTGGAGGGAGGGCTGGCTGCTCATTGGTTGTAGAGACCCCAGGATCTCCTCCCCTAGCAGAGAGGGTCCTTCCCTTTACTGTCTCACCGCATAGGAGTCAGCCCCAGAACCTCATCCTGGGGTCTGCAGCTCTCTGGCCTATGGCTTCCGTGGTCTTGGGTTGCTCTGGCTGGGTTTGTGTGGTCGGTCTGTTGCTGTTTGTGTCTTTGGGCATCTGTCCCTCTGCTTCTTGTGTCCTCATGTCCCTTTCCTCTTGATTATACACTGTGTCTCTCTCACGCTGAGTCTTTCTGTTTCCCTGTCTGTCTGTCTGTCTTTCTCCCTGCTCTAGATGAGTGTTTGCCACCAGTTCTCCTGACCCTGTCACCCTGGTCCCTGTGTGGCTTCAGCTGCTGGGGGAGGGGTGCAGAAACAGAAGTAAAAGTGCTGAGCTGTGGGTTGAGGATGGAGCGGACGAGTGGGTGTGGCAGCCGGGGGTGTGTGATCTGGGGTTTGAAGGGAACACGTGACACTGAGTGGTCCTGGGGGTCCAGGAGGAGCCCTTGCCAAGCCGAGTCCCACGGGCCGTGCGGGTGGCTAGTCTGCTGAGCGAGGGGGAGGAGCTGTCTGGTGATGATGCCGAAGATGAGGATGACCATGCCTCTGAGGGTATCCCCAAGTGAGTATCCCCCCAGTCAGCCGCCTTCCTTTCCAAAGCCCAGCCTATCCTGCCCTCCTGTCACAGCGGTAGCCTGAGAGATCCCTCAGCCTCGCTGCCGCCTTCTCTTGTTCTAGTGGCGGGTGGCCCACCGGTGGCCTGAACCCACCCTTCCGCAGCCTGATCCCCGATCTCCCACCACACCCCATGGATGAGCTGCCTGGGGGCTCCACCCCCATCACACCGGTCATCAAGGCTGGCTGGCTGGACAAGAACCCACCGCAGGGGTGAGTGGGGTCTGCCAGCACCTTCTAGTATCTGTGTGGGGACAGGGCATGCTCCAGGATACTGGTGTCGTGGATCCACAAATCAGAGGGGTCCAAGATTATGTGAGCAATTTTCCCTCCACACACATTAACCATTGGTAACCACTGGATGATCTAGGTGCTGAGGAAAGGGGGACTGGGTGTAATGGTGGGACCTTCCTCCTCAGTCCCAGTCTTTGCTGATCCCTGCCTCTGCCTGGTCAGGTCTTATATCTATCAGAGGCGATGGATAAGACTGGATGCTGACTACCTGCGATACTTCGACAGTAACAAGGTGAGGGCTCCATCAGTCCCTTACTTGACCCTCGCTCCTGCCTAGGCCTAGGCTGAACCCCAGTATTGCTTCAGGCCTAGTCCTCAGTGGGGTCCTGGTCTGTGGGCTGGCTGAAGGCAGTGATCAGGGCCAGTACAGAGTGATCCCTGGCCACCTGCAGAACATAGGCTTACAGCCCTCATTTCAGTGGAGCTGGGCAAGGGGCTCTAGGGTTCCCGCTCTGAAATGCAGCTCTTCTCTCCCCCAGGATGCCTACTCTAAGCGCTTTGTCCCTGTAGCCGGCATCTGCCGGGTAGCTGCTATCGGAGACCAGAAGTTTGAAGTGATCACAAATAATCGGACCTTTGCCTTCCGGGCAGAGAGCGATGGTGGGTATTTAGGAGTGTGTGTGTGTGTGTGTGTGTGTGTGTGTGTGTGTGTGTGTGTGTGTGTGTGAAGGACTGGAAGTTCGGTCACATTGTGGAGAGTGGGAAGGGAATAATGTATGTCTGTTCCCTAACACGTCATACCCAGGGAAGCATCATTCCTGTGTGGTCTGGGGGAGGATAAGGAAGGAAGTACTGACTGTAGCCAGCTCCTTCCCAGACACTCCCCAGCTCCACAGAACCACACGTCAGCATGGACAGGGCACGCAGGCTCCAACAGTTGTGGTGGCTTGCCCACTGTAAGCCAGACAAGATGGCATCGAGGCCTAGGTTGTCCAAGCTCGAGAAGTCTGGAAAAGTGACAGACCAAGCCAGTGGGTTTCCTAGCAAGGTGATTCCTGGGGAGCCTAGAGCCAGGAGGCCCCAGGGGTCCCTGCCAGCTGAGTTCAGATGTCACTCTTACCCTTTTGCAGTGGAGCGGAATGAGTGGATGCAGGCTTTGCAGCAGGCAGTGGCTGAGCAGCGCGCCCGTGCTCGGCTCTCTAGTGCCTCTGTGTTGGGAGTTCGAGGTACTGAGCAGCCTGACCGTGCTGGCAGCCTGGAGCTACGAGGCTTCAAGAATAAGCTTTATGTGGCAGTGGTTGGGGACAAAGTACAACTCTATAAGAATCTGGAGGTACAAAGGACTCTACCAGGCCACTGAGCTCTCCCCGCCCTATGCTTATCACAGTTCCCTTCCTTGCCCCTCTCCTGTCCGTCTGGTGCCTCCCTGGTCTTGCTAGGACTCAAACCCAGTACTTTCCCTTCCAGCCTTTCATGCATGCCCCCTCTTCCCTCTTGTCTGCCTGTGCCTCTCCTCCATCCATCTCCTGAGCACCACCCTCCCCTCCTGTCCCACTCAGCTCCTATGCCACCACGCCCCTCTCCCCAGCTGCTCTAGTCCAGGCTTCTGTCCCCGCTCAGTCCCTTCCTCCTTCCGAGGCTCTTCCCCAGTCCCCCGTCCTGGACCGTGAGCCCTGCTCTCAGCCTTGCCTCCCTCCCTTTCCGCACCCATCAGGAGTTCCAGCTGGGCATCGGCATCACCTTTATCGACATGAATGTGGGCAATGTGAAGGAAGTGGACCGGCGCAGCTTCGACCTCACGACCCCCTACCGCATCTTCAGGTGAGCCCCTGCCCCACCTCTGGCTCACCCACATCCTCTTGGTATTTTCCTTTTCCCCACCTTCCAGCCCTACGCCATGGAGCAGGTCTGCTTTGCTCACCCACCTGCCGTAGTCTGTCAGAAGTCTTCGCCCATCTTCGTCTGGCCAGTTCTGTTCTTTCTGCCCACCACACTGATCATGAGGTGTCCCGCCAGCACTTGTCACCCCCTCTCTCCCTGGGTATTGCTCTGTAGTACCACCCGGCCATCCGCAACCCCAAGCCTGTGGGTTCTCCGGCAGAACCTGCTTATGCTCAAAGCTTGTGTGCCTGTTAACTCCTGGGACATCTCCCTCATGGCCCTTCTCTGCCTCATGTAGCCTCTCACTGTCTACCTCTTTTGCACTCTGCTTTGGCTGTCCCCTCTCTGTGTCTGTCACCACCCTGGCTAAAGCCTGGCAGGCCCTCTGGTATCTGACTCGTGACTCTTGGATTGTTGGTCTTGGTGGCTTCACTCTGTCCATAGTGATAGCAGGGTAAGTGACCTTGGACCTCAAGAGCGAGGTTGGTGTTTGTCTGTTTCTTACATTTGAAATATCGTGTGTCATCGGCCCTGTAATTCTTTGGCATTATCCATAGTGACAGCAAGAGCTGCCGCCAGCCACTTTGGGGTTTCCCTTTCTGTCGGTTGCAGAGGCTGCTCCCCTGGTTACCGTCACCTATCCTAATGAGGCCGATAGATATTCAGCAGAAAGCGCTTCCACACTTGGGCCTACAGGGCTTGGTGCAGTGGACTGAGCATGCTCGTTGCTTCTCTGAGGCCCTGGCAGCTTTCTGAGTTCCTCTACTGGCTGTCATGGGGGAGGCTGTCCTCAGCCCGCTCCCAAAGAGGCACTCTTGGCCATTACCCCTCCAGCAGCGATGCCTTCCTTGACTATGCTGGTAGGTTCTAAGTGGTGTGGACTCTTAGACACTTTGCTGTGACTTGCAGTTGGTGGTGACAGCAGCAGCAAAAGAGCCAGTTTTGTTTATTTTGTTGGGTTTGTTTGAGACAGGGTTTCTCTGTGTAGCCTGGGCTGTCCTGGAACTCACTCTGTAGCCCAGGCTGGCCTCGAACCCAGTGATCCACCTGCCTCTGCCTTCTGAGTGCTGGGATTAAAGGTGTGCACCACCACCGCCCAGCTTCAGAGGGAGCTTTTGTAGGAAGGAAGACAGTTCTGCATTTGTTGTCCAGATAGAACTTCCCACCTTGAAGAGAAGGCTGTGGCAGGGCCACAGGGATCCCTGTGTTTCAAGCTGACATAGTTCTTTCCTTTCCTTTCCCTTTCCCTTTCTTTCCCTTTCCCTTTCCCTTTCCCTTCCCCTTCCTTCCCCTTCCCTTCCCTTCTCTCTCTCTCTCTCTCTCTCTTTCTTCTTCTTCTTCTTCTTCTTCTTCTTCTTCTTCTTCTTCTTCTTCTTCTTCTTCTTCTTCTTCTTCTGAGTCAGGGTCTCTCTACATAGCTGTAGATGAATTTCTAAATGGTCTTATTAAATAAAAAAACACAGAGCCAGATATAGGGGTGAAAACCCAAGAGATCAGGAAAATAGGGAAAGCCACAACTAACCTTACCTCACCAACTTGGCAGTTTCCAAATGCGAGCGACTTCCTGTCTCCCCACGCCTATATGTCTTGCTGTTCTGTCATCTGATTTGCTCTCTCTGTCTAGCTACATCACTTCCTCTTCCTGCCTAGTTCTGTCACTTCCTGTCTGTCTGTACAGACTGTCCATGGTTAACTAGTATTGGAATTTAAGGCGTGTGCCACCACACCTGGCTCTGTTTCCAGTGTGACCTTGAACTCACAGAGATCCAGACACATCCCTGGCTGCCAAGTGATAGGATTAAAGGCATGTGCTAACATTACCTGACTTCTTTGTTTACTTATAATGGCTGGCCTTTTCCTCTGATCTCCAGGCAAGCTTTATTTATTAAAGCACAAATAAAATATCACCACACATAGCCCTGGCTGTCCTGGAATGCACTATGTAGGCCATGCTGGCCTTGAACTCACAGAGATCCACCTGCCTCTGCCTCTGCTGGAATTAAAGGCGTGCACCACACACTGGACCCCCATTGGAGTCCTTTCTGGGATGGAGTCACAGCTGGGGCTGGGATGGGACGGAGATTGAAGGTAGAGATGGCACACACCTCTATGTTCTGTCTGCCCTCCCATATACACCCTCGATTGGTGCTCATTCTAGGGTGTCTTGTGCCTGCTCTGCCTGTCTCAGGCCCGTTCCAGTCTATCCCTCATTGTCTTCTCTGCCGGTCTGGCCCCGTCCTCTGTCTGTGTGCCGTCCTGCCCTCCCTGTGTTCTGCCTGTGTGCCGTCCTGCCCTCCCCGTCCTCTGCCTGTGTGCCGTCCTGCCCTCCCTGTCCTCTGCCTGTGTGCCGTCCTGCCCTCCCCATCCTCTGCCTGTGTGCCGTCCTGCCCTCCCCGTCCTCTGCCTGTGTGCCGTCCTGCCCTCCCCGTCCTCTGCCTGTGTGCCGTCCTGCCCTCCCCGTCCTCTGCCTGTGTGCCGTCCTGCCCTCCCTGTCCTCTGCCTGTGTGCCGTCCTGCCCTCCCTGTCCTCTGCCTGTGTGCCGTCCTGCCCTCCCTGTCCTCTGCCTGTGTGCCGTCCTGCCCTCCCTGTCCTCTGCCTGTGTGCCGTCCTGCCCTCCCTGTCCTCTGCCTGTGTGCCGTCCTGCCCTCCCTGTCCTCTGCCTGTGTGCCGTCCTGCCCTCCCCGTCCTCTGCCTGTGTGCCGTCCTGCCCTCCCTGTCCTCTGCCTGTGTGCCGTCCTGCCCTCTCTGTCCTCTGCCTGTGTGCCGTCCTGCCCTCCCTGTCCTCTGCCTGTGTGCCGTCCTGCCCTCCCCGTCCTCTGCCTGTGTGCCGTCCTGCCCTCCCCGTCCTCTGCCTGTGTGCCGTCCTGCCCTCCCTGTCCTCTGCCTGTGTGCCGTCCTGCCCTCCCTGTGTTCTGCCTGTGTGCCGTCCTGCCCTCCCTGTCCTCTGCCTGTGTGCCGTCCTGCCCTCTCTGTCCTCTGCCTGTGTGCTGTCCTGCCCTCTCTGTCCTAAACATCTACCACTTCATCCCCTGGCTTAGCCCTTCTTTTCTGTCTCCTCTTCCTGATTCCCCCTTTTGCTCCTGTTTCTTGTGGTTCCTTTGTTCATACTGGCTTTCCCAACAGTCCCAAGATGATCTCTTTCCTGACCCAGAGCTCTCCAAGCCACACCTCCCTCACACCGACCCTGCAGTCCCTCCAGGCCCTTTCCCACCAGTTCTCCTACTTCTGTGTCCCCAGCTTCTCAGCTGATTCAGAGTCAGAGAAGGAGCAGTGGCTGGAGGCCATGCAGGGAGCCATCGCAGAGGCCCTGTCTACCTCAGAGGTGGCCGAGCGCATCTGGGCTGCTGCCCCCAACAGGTTCTGTGCGGACTGTGGGGCTTCCCAGCCCGACTGGGCCTCCATCAATCTCTGCGTTGTCATCTGCAAGAGCTGTGCAGGTGGGTGTGTGTGCACAGCAGGCTGGCCACTGGACCGCAGGCGGCCTATTCGGCCGGTCCTGGAGCCCTTATTCCTAACACTGCTCCAGCACCATTCTTTGTCCTTAGTTCATGGTTATACTCTCCCCTCGGGGATGGGGACAGACAAAGTGGAGTGGGGGGGGAGTTTTTTTTTTTTCAGGGCTACAAGTAAGTAGCCTGGCAAGTAAGTGATCTTAGATCGGAGCCCAGGCTGTTGGAATCTGGTGTCCCTGTCATATCAGAAGCATGCAGGAGGCCGGGCCCACCAAGGGCTCTTCATGCTGAGAGAGGAGCCAGTGTTTTGTCCAGAGGGGATGTAAGGCAAGGGGCCCAGGGGCTTGGTCAGCTCTGTGGGCCAGACTCTGGCTCATAGGCAGAAGCTGAGATTGGAGACCTGAGGGGGGGCTGCTGCACCATCCAGCAGCAGGAGAGGAAGAGCCAAGGGCCTTCTAGGGTGGTTTGAAAGTTACATATGAAGGTCTCCATGACACACGTCTGAGGAGGGTGGGAATGGAAGAAGGTGGGGCCCAAGGTGTATTCATCTGCTGACTGCTTGCTGTACACTGGGCATTGGCTTATCCTGAGAGCTGACAGTACCCAGGTGCTGGTTTTGCATGGCTGCAGCGGTGAGGTGGACTTTGATGTGGGAATTCAGGAGGAAGGACAGATCTGGGTGAGTCAGTGAACTCGGGAAGAACCCTAGGCCTGTGGGACTTTAGGACAGATGTCAGGCCCTGGGGCCCTGAGGTCCGTGTGCAGAGAAGAGGCAGCTTCGCTGGTGATCATGTAAGGAAAGCATCCGTTCGTGGAGCTGATCCAGGCTGACTATGTGGACGTGGTTCTGTATGGAAGATGGTGCATGGAGGCAGGGCCAGGGCTTGAGCCAAGCAGTGACGGGTATTTCTAATGTCTCTCGCTCACTTCCCCTGTCCTGGGTCCCTCCTGGAACCTGTACCTGACAAGCTTCATTTCTCTAGCTCCCACCTTAGGCTTTCCTTTCATTCTGCTGACACATATCAAGTGCTTATTGTGTACCGGGTTTTGTTCTGGGCACTGAGGACAGAAACCGAAAGCCAGATCGGGATCCTGTTCATATGCAGCTGCATTGCGATGGGAGGGGCGGAAAACACAGGAGCCAATAGAAGTATTGGAATTGCAAGAAGTGGGAAGAGAAGGTGCCATTGTTTGGGACATCTCTGAGGAGGTGACATGTCAGCTGAGACCTGAATGACCGGAAGGCATGGCCGTGTGGGGAGATGGGGGAAAAGAATTGAGGCAGAAAGTTAGGGATGGCAGGGGGGCAGATAGGTTTTTATATCTACTGCTAGAACAGCTGGTGGTATGGAAAAGGGATTTGCACTTCAAAGCACTCAGTTGGTAGGGAAAGTGGCCTGGAGGGTCCACTGTGACTGGAGGGAGCCCTGGTAAGGTGTGAGCAATGGGTATGTGACCTGATTCTGGAGCCATGCCAAAATGGAGTTGCAAACTAGCTCTAGGCCTGCCTGAGGAGCACTGGAGATGGTTGAGTGCTCACGGGAAGGGTTGCACCCAAGGGACTGTGTCTGGTCCTCATCGCAGGGGAGCACCGTGGCCTGGGGGCTGGAGTGTCCAAGGTGCGGAGCCTGAAGATGGACAGGAAGGTGTGGACAGAAACACTCATCCAGGTGGGCATGCCCTGCTTGTCACCTTCGCTTGGGGTTCCCCTCTCAACTGCTGCCCTGCATCCCCCATCTCACTGACCTCAGAACTTTGGAGCGAGGGGACCTCTGGATAATGTAGTGGGTGGGGATTTTGGAAAAGCCTATTTTTGGCAAAATCAGCAAATTGGCTAGTGTACTAAGAATGTTTTTACAGTTTTAAAGGGTTGTAAAAAAAAGATTTGACAGAGATTGTATGTGTTCCATAAACCCTAAACTACTTATTATTTGACCTTTTAGAGAATTGCCGACCCCTGATATAGTTCAGCTGTTGTCCTGATGTGGAAACTGAAGCCCAGGATTGGGCTGTTATGTGCCTAAGGTTACCCAACTACTGCACATTGACCACCCAGCCTGCTTCTTTCCACCCCATGCCCTAGCTGAGCTGGGCTCTTCTCCACTGTGCACACACCCCCCTCAGCTCCTCAGAGCTTTCACTGCACCCGAATTCTGTGCACAGTGTGTATATGATGCATGATTTGAGGCTCACATGTGTACATATATTTATGCCTATGCATTTAAACTTCTCCGGTGCCTGTGTATGTAATAGTTGTTATGGGGAACTTGAGGCAGGAGGCTAGACCTAGGAATCTGCCCCCCAGGGCCTTACTGCTAAGTTGGGGACTTTATAGCATATCCATTTCATATGCCCACACTATGAGTTTGGCATACCAATACAGAGAATGTTGCTTTTGTTAATGAATTGTCTTTCAGAATAATCCTGAGTTAGGATTAGAATACCCAGGATACAGATGAATACACTGAGGCCCAGGGAGAAAAAAAAAAAGCCCGAGCAGGTCCATCGAGGCAGGGGGTGTTTTTGCTTTTTCCACTACTGTGACTCCAGCACTCTGAACAAGTGGGCTGGGGAGCCCAGCAATGCCTGTGATAGGGTGAATGTGGAACAGAAGGGGGAAATGACCCTGGCCCTAATGATGCCCTCCTTCACCTCCTGGAAACCGCCACCTCCTCTCATCCAGATAGACCCAAAGTCCCCACCTACCCTATTGGCTGACAGGTTAGACACCACCCCTCACTGAGACAGCCTCAGGAATGCAGAGTTCCAGATGTGGGGCTGGGCGAGACAACAATGAGGCCCCCAGAGACCAGGCCTCATTCATTCACCTATCAGACTGTCTGAGACTCTCTGGGCTGAGAGCCCAGGGTCTCGAGCAAGAGTACCAATGGCCACCAGCAGACCTCGCTGCTCCAATCCTCCCGTCCCCCTCGGGGAAAACGGGTGTGTGGTCTGATCCTCTCAGGACCTCTTAGCGTCAGCTGCCCCTCTCCCCTCTTGCCCACACCCACAGCTCTTCTTACAGCTGGGCAATGGCCCTGGGAACCACTTCTGGGCCGCCAACGTGCCCCCTAGTGAGGCCCTGCAGCCCAGCAGCAGCCCTGGTGCCAGGCGATACCACCTGGAGGCCAAGTACAGAGAGGGCAAGTACCGCCGCTACCACCCACTCTTTGGCAACCAAGAGGAGCTGGACAAGGTCAGCACATCAAGCCCCTGGGATTCTTGAGCCTTCATGACCCTGCACTGTCAGGGACCCTTGAACCTATCCCTTCCGTCCTTTGTCCCCCGTTCCTCTGTCTCAACCCATCTCTTCCGTCAGCTTAGAGGGCTGTGAACATATGGGGAAACTGAGGCCCAGAGGGCAGCAGGGCCTGCATAAGGAAAGCCAGGACAATGCGGGGAGGAGTCAGGCTTGGTTCTTGGTCCAGGGCCATGTCTTCAGCATCTGGCTGCCTCCTCCTGATTCCTCTGTCTCCCGCACCCTGTCCTGTTCCTTCAGAATCCTGCCAAAAGGAGTGAACTTGATGGGGATGCTATTTCCTGTCAGGCTCATGAAAAACAGCTGGACTGCTCCGACCCACCCCATCCACACCCCATTCTAGATGAGGCCCCATATAGGCCCCAGACCCCAGAAGATCGGGAACCAAGTCTTGGACCCTGATCTGGGTGGGAGATAGCTCTCTTGGAGGCAGCAGGGTGGCATTTGTGACCTATGGGTGGCCTTCAGCTCTTCCTCCAAGCAGCCCTATCCAGGCAGGCTGAGTCTAGCTCCCAGAGCTCTGTGGAAGCTAGGCCTCCACCTCCCTAGGACCTAGGCGTCCAGCCCTCAGTTCAGCCCAGCCCAGTCTGGCCTACAAGCCAGAAGGGTGGTGGCTCTCATTGGTCGGGAGGGCTGGGCAGGCAGTGAGGAATTCAAATGTGGGAGGAATTAGCTACAACCCTTAGCCCCGCCCTCTGCCCCCGCTGCAAGGCAGAGGGAGCCTGAGATCCTCCAGGGGCTCCTTGCAGCCTGACCAGCAGCTGTGCCCCAGGACCCACAGGGTGAGGCCCTGTGGCTAGGACCCCAGCCTCAGCTGGGTAGCCTCTGCCCAGCCTCCCTGGCTTGCCTTCTCCTCTTCTTTTTCTGACGCGCATGCCTTTTTTTTTTTTCTTCTCTCCTGGCTTCCCCAAGCCCTGGTCTCTTTCAATCTGAGGATGGTCCACCCAGATTTGGGTGACTCCTTCCTCTTCCCTCCTCCCTTCTTGCATGCTCCCATCCCTACCCCCCCCCAACTCTCCCCCCCCCCTTGAATTGACCCTCCCTCTCCTCTAGGCCCTCTGTGCTGCAGTGACTACCACGGACCTGGCTGAGACCCAGGCACTCCTGGGCTGTGGGGCTGGGGTCAGCTGCTTCTCAGGGGACCCCTCAGCTCCCACACCCCTGGCTCTCGCTGAGCAGGCTGGACAGACGCTGCAGATGGAGTTTCTACGGAATAACCAGAGCACAGGTGAGTGGCCAGTGACCCTGTCCTCTGCTGGCAGGGTCTGGCGTTTTAGAGGAGTTTACAGGGGTGCCAGCAGAAACCGTGGTCCAGCTGAGAACCTAGATTTGCAGGCCACTCCCAAGCTGTGATTGAAGCTCCTTGGTGGTCCCTCGGGCGGCGTGTTTGGGGCGTGTTTGGGGTTTATGGGTCAGTGGACACTTACGCTTTCTGTGTGTGTCCTTTTGTGTCTGTGTGTCTGGGACGATTTATCTGTGTGCTCTGTCCTGACTTACAATGTGGGTCCGTAGGAGTGTCTGTTCCGGGATGACCCTTAGAGCTGCCTAGGTTCTTTTTCCTCACGCTGGGAGTGTTAAGGCTTTGGGGTTTGTGTATGTGGGTCTGTGTTGCCGTGGAGGAGGGTGTTGCCATGTGTGTGTGTGACCTACACAGCAGCCTTGTCTGTCGTCTGTCTACTCAGTCTGGGTGGAGTTTCATCACAGACCTGGGTTGGGTCCCATTTGGCTCCCATTCTTGGGAGGGGGGTGAAGAGGGGGTTGCTAGGGTGAATGGCGTTGGTTATGGCCCAGACCTGGTCTCTTGAGGCAACATCCTAAGGCCGAGGGTGGGGCTCAGTGGCTGGGGCTCTGGGCTTTGGGCCACCGGTGGGTGGGGCATGCTGGGCTGGAGAGAGCCCAGGTGTCTATGGAGATGCGAGAGACCACCCAGCTGGATTGGGCTAAGGAGCAGGACCCTCCGTGCTGACCACTGGAGCCGGGCTACTTCCCTGGCCCTTGTGCTGTCTGGGACAAACCTCTCTCTAGGGAATGTTATTGAGTTGGCCCAGAGCTCCCCTCATTCCAGTATGCTTGGCTCTGTGTCTCCAACAGGGAGTGTGGGGTGGGCTTGGGAGTCAGTGAGGTTTCCTGAGATGGGAAGGACTAGAGCGGAGCCCTGGGAATGGAGTGACAGTCCCACTTGTGGGCAGAGGTGGAGATGTGGCTTTTCAAAACCTTGGAGGTGGCAGTAGGAGCCTGAGGGTGCTGGTAGGGAGCTAGGGAGGCAGCGCTGTGACCAGAACGTGAGCCTAGGTACCTTGCCTCAGAGATCACCTCCTGGACACCCAGCATGACTACCACCATTCTTTCTTCCACTCCACAGAGGTCCCTCGGCTGGACTCAGTGAAGCCCTTGGAAAAGCACTACTCCGTTATCCTGCCAACTGTGAGCCACAGTGGCTTCCTGTACAAAACTGCTTCTGCCGGCAAGCCTCTACAGGACCGCCGGGCCCGGGAAGGTGAGTGCTGCACATACCCATCCAGGCCCATGGTGTGTGAGCCTGGCTGCAGGCCCAGAAACTGGGGCTGGCTCTGCTGGTGGACCCGAGGGTGCAAGGGGACTCTGGTGTAGTTGTTGTTTTCTCCTTTACTCTTTTTGGGGGTCCACCATCCAGCTCCCAAATAAACACACAGAGTCTCATTATTACTTATAAATGCCTGGCTATAGCTTGGATTATTTCTAGCTAGCTTTTCTTAAATTATCCCATCTATCTTTTGCCTCTGGGCTTTTACCTTTCTCTATTTCTGTATAACTTTCTTTACTTCTTACTCTGTGGCTTGCTGTGTAGTTGGATGACTGGCCCTGAAGTCCTCCTCTTTCTCTTGATTCTTGATCTCCTCGATCCCAGATTTCTCCTTCTATTTATTCTCTCCACCTGCCAGCCCTGCCTACCTTTTTTCCTGCCTTGCTATTGACCATTCAGCTCTTTATTATACCAATCAGGTGTTTTAGACAGGCACAGTAACACAGCTCCATAGAGTTAAACAAATGCAACATAAAAGGATGCAACACATCTTTGCATCATTAAAACAAATGTTCCACAGCATAAACAAATGTAACACATCTTAAAATAATATTCTACAACACTCTGGCAGAGCCACCTGGAAAGTCTCCTGGATGTGGCCTCTTGTGTACAGTAGGTGCTTGAGAAGCAGGCTGGTTGGGGTGGGAGTTGGGTATGGCACTGCAGAGTTTCCCCAAGCCTGAAGTCTGTCTGGAGCCCCGTTGGGTGTGGTCATGGGCTGGGCGTCTGGCATATTCCAGATGTGGATGGAAGGCAGTTGGGGGACTTGGACTTGAGTGCCATCCCTCGCAGGTCTCAGCTGCCTTCCATTTGTTCCCTGTCTCCAAGTACAACCTCCAGTCCTTACACATTAGCCAAGAGCTACTGACAGCTGCCCACCCTCTTATAGCACAGACACCCCTCCCCAGATTCTGCCCCAGCCCTGTGACTTCCTTGCTTTGTCACACATGCCAGATTCACACCCACCAGGAACCTGCATTTGCTGATCTGTTTGCCCCAAATGCTTTCTTCAAATATCCCTTAAAATGTCATGTCTACAGGGATATCATGTCATCTCCAGCCACTTTATACTGTGCTGCCTGTCACCCTCAATCCTATTTTTTTCTTCTTACTGTTCCATCTGATTTTTAGTCTTTTTTTTTTTTTTTTTTTTTTAAGACAGGGTTTCTCTGTGTAGTTTTCGTGCCTGTCCTGGATCTCGCTCTGTAGACAAGGCTGGCCTCGAACTTCACAGAGATCCATCTGGTTCTGCCTCTCAAGTGCTAGGATTAAAGGCGTGCGCCACTATTGTCCAGCTTCTCTCCTTCTTTCTAAGACAAGTCTCTGCGCTCCCCAGAGCCTGGACCTTGAACTCCTGGGCTCAAGCTGCCATCTTGTCTCAGCCTTCCATGTAGCTGAAATTACAGACAATGCCACCACACCTGGCTCAGTTGTCCACTATTGTGTACATTTGTGTACATGGTACCTATTGTAGCCTGAGCACCCACGGAGTGCTGGTACCCAGTGGGAACTTGACGTACATCTGGAGAATGAGGGAGACCACAGTTGGAGAGCATATCCTTGGGGACAGGCTTGGAGGCACATTGCCCTCAGAAGGCAGGTGTCAGGTGTCAAGTCACACAGACAGGATGAGGAACAGCCTGCTGGGGGAGAGGCGAGGCCATTTCTTTCTTTCTTTTTTTTTTTTTTTTTTTTAGATTTATTTATTTATTATGTATACAGTATTCTGCCTGCATGTGTCCCTGCAGGCCAGAAGAGGGCGCCAGATCTCATTACAAGTGGTTGTGAGCCACCATGTGGTTGCTAGGAATTGAACTCAGGACCTCTGGAAGAGCAGTCGGTGCTCTTAACCACTGAGCCATCTCTCCAGCCCCGAGAGGCCATTTCTTACAGCCTCTCTCAGCACCCCTTCTTGGAGTACCCCAGATAAAGCCCTCTGATTCCCAGACATTGTAATCCCGAGCAGCTCCTGGTCCAGTTCCCTCTGCCTGATAATGTCATTGATGTAACCCCCATCATTTATGTAACTCCCCTGCGTCATCCTTTTCACCTTGGGCGCCAGGAAGCTCTGAGCCACTCTGAAGCTAGTGCGGAAAGCTGTGGACGCCGGCCTGGTTTGGGTGTTCTGTTCTTTCTCTTACCTCTCATGGTCCAGATTCCCATTTCTGTCCCCTTTGGGGATCTTGTGCATCCTCAGAGCCATTGTAGGAGGAGACAGACTATAGAATGAGGTATGCATCTGGCAAAGAAGAGTGGGCATGGGGTGGGCCCCCAGGACTTCCTATGCCATTGGAACTACAGGTGGAGGGAGCAGGGTGGGCAGAAGGTCAGAGTGATCAAAGAGCCAGAGAGAGGGCAGACCCAGGCTGAGGGACACAGGTTGCCCTAAAAATTGGGGACAGCATGGGATCTAACATCTAAACAGAAGTAAGATCAGGACTCCAGCACTCTTGGCCTCTAAGATAGAGGCTAAAAGTTCACGGAGAGGTTAACAGGGAGAGAGGGGGACTAGGCGCGGAGGGCTGCAGCTGGAGGAATTCTGGGATGAGTGAGTCAGAATGAAGAGCCTATAGGTCAGGAGGTCGCAGGGACCCAGGAAAAAAGCAGGGTGCTTTTCAGCAAACCTGGAGGCTTCTTCATGGTTCCTCTGCCAAACTTCTCCCCAGAGTTCAGCCGGCGCTGGTGTGTCCTTAGTGATGGGGTCCTGAGTTACTACGAGAATGAACGGGCAGTGACACCCAATGGGGAGATTCGGGCCAGCGAGATTGTGTGCCTGGCAGTTTCCCCTCTGGACACCCACGGGTGAGCATCCCTGGCCATAACCACAAACTACTAGTGCCTATCAAGTTCAACTTCTGATTGGGGAGACAGGGCCATAGGCCTAGAGAAGGACCGGACCTTCTCAGGTCCACACACAAAGGACTGTAAAACACTGACCTTACCTCACGAGGCTGCAGCCCAAGGCTGTTTGTCCACCTCCTGGGGGTCAGGGGAAGGGTTCTGACAAGGGCAGGTGGTAGAGAGTGGTAGTTAACGGGGCCAGGGCTGGGCTGGATGGGTGAATCCTGGTTTGTGTATTTGCAGCTTTGAGCACACCTTTGAGGTGTACACAGAGGGAGAACGGCTGTACCTGTTTGGGCTGGAGAATGCAGAGCTGGCTCACGAGTGGGTCAAGTGCATTGCCAAGGTGGGCCTGGGTTAGCGGGCAGGTATACAACAGGGGCAGAGTGGGACTGCTGACTGAACCCCGTGAGCTGATAGAGCAGGAGCTGGGTGGGGGTGTAGCAGACTCAGGACAAGGGAAACATAGATTGCAGCCTTGTGGTACCCTGTGAGGGGCAAGTTTTAGGCCATTATAGTGTGGACAGTGCTGACTCCAGGAAAGTGAGTTTCTTAGCCTTGCAGGTGTGTATTCAGACTACCGAGAAAGGCAAGGAGGCTACAGAGGAGAGAGCCGCCTTAGAGACGAGAGCCAAGTGCCCTCTTGTGCCTTGAGAGCCTGGGGCTCTTCATCCCTCCTAGCTCACTTGCTGAGCTCTCTACGCCTTCTGAGGATCCGTGCCCAGAGTCCTGAGGACCCAGGTGTACCAGTCTTGGGTCTTCTGTTGTTTCTAAGTGTGGGGCAGACAGAGTTCAGGCACAGTAGCATATCCAATGATGTAGCAGACGGCCAAGTATGTGAGCACTGTTGGAACCCAGAGAAGGGACATCCCAAGAGAAGGACACATCAAAATGGGTACAAAGCAGGACGTGATACCAGTTCTGTCATTGTGCTAGGTTCTGCCTTGGGGAAGAGGAAAGGAAGTGGCTAGATGGGAAAGAACCCTTACCCACAGGCCAGGGAGCTTGGGTGTCTCCAGAAGGCTATGCTGTGTTTACATTGTCTCTCCCCACTATTGCCCCAACTAGGCATTCGTGCCTCCCCTGGCTGAGGACCTGCTAGCCCGGGACTTTGAGCGGCTTGGGCGCCTACCCTACAAAGCTGGCCTGAGCCTCCAGCAGGCCCAGGAAGGCTGGTTCGCCTTGGCTGGCTCTGAGCTCCGGGCTGTCTTCCCAGAGGGGCCCTGGGAAGAGCCTCTGCAACTCCGGAGACTGCAGGAGCTTTGTACGTGTACCCTGCCTGGTTCCCCAATCTCTAGGGCTCCTTGTCGCAACCCCCCCACCCTCCGCCCTTATCTGGAAATCTCAATTCTTTTCTGGCCTGAGGTCAGTTGACCCAGCCTGCCCTCCCATATCCTCTATTCTCCTTGGAGTTCATCTCAGTAACCCTTTAGGTTGGTGGGTGGAACCCAAGGGTGTGGTCTCAGAGGGCTTCATGAGGGAATAGTTTGGGGATCATAAACAGAGCCTGGGCCTCACCCTGACTGGCCTCTCTACAGCCATCCAAGGAGACAACGAGAACCAAGTTCTGGTGCTGGTAGAGCGGAGGAGGTGAGCTTTAGCTCCCCCGAGGAGCCTGGGAAGCCTGAGGGCAGTCCAACAGCCTAGGGAGAGGTGGGATACAGGGACAGACAGATGGGAGAATGACTTATCTCTGGTCCAGGACGCTGTACATCCAGGGCGAGCGGCGACTGGACTTCATGGGTTGGCTAGGGGCCATCCAGAAAGCCGCAGCCAGCTTGGGAGACACACTCTCAGAGCAACAGCTTGGGGACTCAGACATCCCAGTGATTGTGTACCGCTGTGTGGACTACATTACACAGTGTGGTGAGCAACCCCGAGGTCCAGCCACTCCCCTTCTGTGGTGATCCCCAGCCCCCGGTACCCAGGATCCCTCTAAAAAGAGCGGCGTGACTCCCTCTCCAGGCTTGACCTCGGAGGGTATCTATCGAAAGTGTGGTCAGACCTCTAAGACCCAGAGACTGCTGGAGAGCCTGCGGCAGGATGCGCGCTCTGTACACCTCAAAGAGGGAGAACAGCATGTGGATGACGTCTCCTCTGCACTCAAACGCTTCCTGAGGGACCTGCCTGATGGGCTCTTCACGCGTGCGCAGCGCCTGGCCTGGCTGGAGGCCTCTGGTGAGTCCTGCTGCCTGTATCCAGCCTCGTCCACCCTACCTCAGGATGTCCCCATCCTACTCTGGACAAGGCTTGTCCCGGCTCCTCTGCCTACTCTGCTTCTCAGTCCTCTAGTCAGGCTCTACAGAGACGGGGTGGCTTGGAGGTGGATGGTGGAGTCCCTGGCCCTGCCGGGTGCTGGGAATGCTATCTCCATCATGAGAAGCAAAGCTGCCGGAAGGAGCATTGGCGACCAGTTTCTAACCCAGTCCGTCTCCCCCCACCCAGAGATGGAGGATGAGGAGGAAAAGATCTCCAGGTACCGAGAGCTCTTGGTGCATCTGCCCCCTGTCAACCGGGCCACCGTGAAGGCCCTTATCAGCCATCTGTACTGGTGAGGGGCCATGCCGACGTGAGGCTCTGGGTGGATGGGTGGAGAAGATTCTTTTACTCCCAGCCTGGCTGACTGCCCGCAGGTGGGCAAGCAGGTGGGCCTGGGGACCAACCAATGACTGCCCTGATCTTGGACATTGTATCTCAGCTTATTTCCTGCAGGATAGAGGGGATGGAATATTTGTCCGTTTGGGGCCAGGTGACTGAGGCCAAATGCCCTTGCTTCCCAGCCCTGTACCTTGCCAGGACCTGAGATGCATCCCTCTTTCACTCCTTAATTAGGGTCCACGCTGTCTTCTTTGACCTCGGTCCCTTGGCCAGTCTTGGTCCTGATGGGAATTGGGAAGGTGGGTGGGGAAGCTCTGGGCCAGGCTCCTCTGTTCTCATTCCAGTGTACAGTGCTTCTCAGACACAAACCAAATGAACACACACAACCTGGCTATTGTGTTCGGGCCCACGCTCTTCCAGACAGATGGGCAGGACTACAAGGCCGGCAAGGTGGTGGAAGATCTCATCAATCACTACGTGGTGGTGTTTAGTGTACGTCCCAGCCGGGATTGGGGCCTAGGGAAGGCAATGAGGGGAGGGGTGGGCAAGGCTGAGCCTCTCAGATGGCATTGACCAGCCGGCCCTTCCCAGGTGGACGAGGAGGAGCTGAGGAAGCAGAGGGAGGAAGTCACTGCCATTGTGAAGATGCGTGTGGCTGGCACTGCCAGTGGGACCCAGGTGCCCGCCAGGGTTTGGGTAGGCTTGTGCTGGCTGCTAGCACTGCTCCCCGGACCTCTAGCTGAGCCCCGTCTCTCCTGCAGCATGCCGGTGACTTCATCTGCACCGTGTACCTGGAGGAGAAGAAGGTGGAGACTGAACAGCATGTCAAGGTGGGGGCTGTTGAGCCGGGCTGGGCCAGGGCCAGGCACAGATGGCCACTTTGAAATGTATGAGAATCCCCAAAGACACTCCTCTTTGCATCTCGGGGCTCAGCGGACCCAAGGAGGAGTGGGTTTGGGGCCTGAACCACAGGAGAGTGTGGCCCAACAGAAGCTGGTGGCACATTTGGGGCTGGCTGATCTTCTCCTGGGTCTCTGCAGATCCCGGCATCCATGACAGCAGAGGAGCTTGCCCTGGAGATCCTAGACCGCCGCAATGTGAGCATCAGGGAAAAGGACTACTGGACTTGCTTTGAGGTCAACGAGAAGGAGGAGGCAGGTGAGTGGCCATGGATGGCCTTCAGCCCAGCCTCACTGCTCCTGCCCCCTACGGTTTGGGAGCCAGAGGTTTTGCGTGACACTTTTTTGCTGACACACTAGTGAAAATGGTGGCCTCCGTGCTGGTGATGACAGGCAAGTCGCAGGTCCAGGTGATGGTTGTGATAGGGCTGAAGTGGACAGAGGAGGGGTAGGTGGTGCCAGTCATGATGACGCTTTCCCACGTGTCAGGACGGTGTTGCTTGTAGGAGGATGATGCTGAATTCAACAGCAGGATTGTAGGGTGGTACTGTTCTTGGGGTAAAGAAGATGGTGGTTAGTGATCACACGAGCAGATGGCTGTGATGGGAAAGCCTGTCTGTGGTGGCGAGGGGGCTGATTGAAGCCTTTAATGGTGAAGGGAGTGGTGTTGGGACGAGAGGCGGAAGTGTTGCTGACGGATGCATCAGCTCTTTTGGTTGAGTGGCAGGTACTAGGCTGAGGAGCCGGGCAGTGGTCCCTGTGTTCACAGGGGTCAGTCTGTGATATAAGGGGTCAGTAAGGGATGGAGATGCTAATACCACCATCACTCCCAGAAACAGACAACTGCCATGGTGTTAGCTAACTGCTTTCAAGGAAAGGCCCAGGCTGTCTGCGGAGCCTATGGCAGGGCCGATGGCTTTGGAGTCCCTGAGCCTGCTGTGAGGAAGAGTAAAAAGGCTACTTGGTAGAGACGGGACAAGTGCTCCCAGAAAGCACGGCAGCTCTAGCACTGAGCTGAGCTTCCAAGAAATGAGGAAACACAGGGTGGGATTGGAGGTGGGGGCAGCCACACGGAGCCTGGTGGCGATGCAGGGCCATCGGGTGATTGGTGACAGGACTTTGAGAAGATGCTGTTTGCTAGCAGACTGGGAGAGCTGTGACAGGGAGTTAGAGTACATGCTGGAGGTCATTGGAAGGTCCTGGTCTTAATCCAAGTAGAAGCCAGACAGTGTGGAACAGTGCAGAGGGACAGCAGATTCGACCTGTGAGGGTGGAAGGAACTGGAACACTTTTGGTCTGAGCAGGGGCAGCGCTTGTTGGGGACACGTGGGTGACAAGCCAGAGGCTGGCCTATGGAAAGGGTGATCATAATTATGGTGTATCATGATGCTAGTCGATGGTAAGAAGTGTAGGTGACGTGTGTCCATGTGCTTGCCCTCGGTGGCATTAAGCTGTGTGGACCCAGTGACAGTGGTGTGGCCTCTCCACAGAGCGCCCATTACACTTTGCGGAGAAGGTGCTGCCCATTGTGCATGGGCTGGGCATAGACAGCCACCTGGTGGTGAAGAAGTACCAGTCCATGGAGGCCATGCTGTTGTATTTGGGTAAGTGGTGCCCGTAGGGGATGTAGGGAGGATGGGTACCTCCATCTAGAAGCAGGGTAGGACCGCGTGGCCCCAGGGCAGACAGCTCAGATGGATGGTACTGGGCGGCGGGGGGGGATGGTATAGCCCGTGCCCACTCCAGTCCTCCCCTAGCCAGCCGTGTGGGTGACACCAAGCATGGTATGATGAAGTTCCGTGAGGACCGAAGCCTCCTGGGTCTGGGGCTGCCCTCAGGTGGCTTCCACGATCGCTACTTCATTCTCAACAGCAGCTGCCTACGGCTCTACAAGGAGGTTCGGGTAAGCCCTATGATGGACACTTGTATCCCATGTGTGCTCAGACACTCATACACAAACATTGCTCTCGGTCTCCGAGAGAGAGGTCCCCATCTGAGGGTCTGGCAGCACAGTGGCTGATGATAGCTGTGTATTTTCCTGCTGTGGCCCTGAGTAGCTGCTCGAAGCCTCTAGCTCCATGAGGCCTTGGAGTGAATGTGATTGCCATGACATCATACACATGCTCCCTTGTTGTCTGTGGTTTGACACAGCTCTCACAAGAATACATGCCATGACAACAGTCCCGAGCTGTACCTGTACTTGCTCTGCCCCTTCCTAGGACACGGCCCTCCTGGCCTACTCTACCCAACATGCTGGGTGTTCTAGACCAGACCCCTTGGGACCCCCATCTTCTGCACACACATGCCCTGCCATCCGCCCTCCCCTTTCCCTTTACACCACGACATAATCTGTCCTGGCTGTAGACTGGGATGGTGCCCTCCATAACCCTGCTCCTCTATCAAACAGAGCCAAAGGCCGTGGAGCGGGGCCCCTGAGACCGTGAGTAGCTATGGGATGTTCCAGCTGCCTTGCCTTACACCACCTGGGGCCAGGCGAGCCGGGTAGAGCTTGGGGACACAGGGCTCCCAGTTCTTTCCAGGCATGGTTCCCTGTCCTCTTACCAGTGGTCACTGGCCCTTACCCTGGAGTACAGCTCCTAAACTCCACCCTTCATCCCTAACCCCAAACCAAGACCTTTTCCTCAAGATAGGGTCTCTCGTTGGTGTGATGCTAGAATTTTCCGCAGTATGCGGAGAAGTTTTGGAGCCAGCAACAGAGACCCAAGTTTGGGTTAAGACTGTTTCATCTCCTCCGCTACTCCCGGAGCTGCCCACTTCCAAACTTAGAGAAAGTGCTGGGACTGTCTGAATGCCCTTGACACTGTTGACCCTGAGGTGCCAAACTGGGACAAGAGGCCGTAAGACGTTCTCTATCAGGGATGGATGTGCCTACCCAGCCTCCCTAGCTAGTGCCCCAGCTTTCTTTCGTCACCCACGAGAACCCTCCACTTTCCTCTTGAGGCTGCCCAGCCTGTAACTTCTGCCTGGGGGTCGCCCCTGGCTGGGGTTCAGCTGAGAATCCACCTTCCATGGTACCCTGTGGGTACCACCTCTGCCTTAGGGCACACAGAGTGTAGATGGGTATGCAGAAGAGCAGTGGAGGTGTGATGCCAAGCACAGTGTTCTAGCCTGAGGTCCCGAGGTGACTCCAGCACAATCTCCAGCCCTTTCTAGCTCCTTGCATCTCCTGAGCATGTGTGGACAGATCTGGCTGCCATGGAGGATCAGGCGGAGCAACGTCCTCTGGTGACTCTGACATCAGTTGGTTATGGGGCCACAGGAAAGATGATTTGAAATTAGGATAACCTCATACCAAGCAGGAGGCTCTGTGGCCTCTCAGTCCCCATCCCAAGACCTTGTGTTGTTTAAGATCCTGGATCGAGTTAGGAAGGCATATTCCAGAAAAACCATGGGCATAAATTTTATTCCTTGCCCATGACCTTGGACCTCAGTGGTGCCAGGGTCCTGAGCTGCTTGGAAGTGCAGTTCCTATAGGATGTAGTCTCCAGAGGGAGAATCATGGCGCTTCTGCCTCCCTACCCCGCCCACTGTCCACGTATACATCACACAGCACCGTCCTGAGGAAGTGAGGCCTGACGGTTGTGTTTCCAGATGCAGGAGCTGTCAGCCTCCTGCCCTGACTGGGCTGCCTGTACTGCTGAGCACAGGCCTGCACCTTCTGCCTGACTCCTTCCCCTTCCCATCCTGCCTGACTTCTTCCAGGCCCTTCTTCCTGCCCCACTGGCCTCGCAGGAGCCTCTGTCCTCCCAGCCTGCCTCCTGTCTCCATCCCCCATTCCTTCTTGGGCCTCCTCCTGTGCAGGCTGACCTTTTCAGGGCTTTGCCTCTGCCTGTTGGGGGCAGGCAGGTCTTCCCCCCTCCCCCCGTGTTCTGCCCACACCCCGTCTTCCCCAAAGACGTAGCTTCCTTGTCCACTCCACTCTCGATTCCCACACCTGCAGCCAGGTGTGTTCCAGATGTTGTGATTGTCGAGGGAGGCGCTCTCTGTAGAGGAGTTGGGGCTCCTCTACAGAGCCCCTTAGGTCACAACAGGGGCTCTGGCCATATCCCTGAGGTGATGCAGAAGGATCCTCTGGCTCTGAGACAGATCATCCTCTCTCCTGCTGAGGAGCCATGCCTGGGGACGGCTGGGAGCAGTGGTGGGGACCAAGGTGGGGATGGCCCAGTTGTGGAGCCCCAGTTGTAAAAGCATCTGCCCCCCCTACTGTCCTTCCTGGGGGCCCTGCTGGCCCCAGGGGTGCCTGGTAAGGGGAGGGCTCTAAGCAAATGGCTCCCAGAACAGGAGGAAGGTCACTGACCCTCCAAGCAGCCTCTTCCTTGAGGGTCACTGCTCCTGTCCCCTCTGTCTTTGAGCCAGCCTGCTCCTCCCAAGCCCAGACCCATATACGCAGAGGTGGGGGTTGGGCAAGTGTGTCAATAACCTGGTTCCCCACCCTGGTATATGGGTCTCTTGCTTCCTGTCTTAGACCATTGGGAATTTCTCCCTCTGGCCTATCGTACAGAACAGCCAGTAAGCTTCAGCTTGACTCATTGGCCTTCTGATGGGGCCGAAATGCTAGTGATTGCTGGTCCCCAAGCTTTTGTTCACACGGTCAACCCTGGAGCCTCCATGGTCAGGGAGGGAGAGTGACTAAGACAAATACAGACCCTAGTGGGCAACCAAGGCTCTCACACGGCCTGGGCCGGCTTCCACGTGTTGTGGAGGAGGGCATCCGGAGACGGCCCCACAGCTGGTGTCAGAGTCAAGCCTGCTACAAGCTGATTCTCCAGTGCGCCGGGCAGCAGGGGCTGGGAATCGTTACTCTGGACCTGCCAGCTGGAATGCTACCTTGGGGACTGAGGGTTGACTGTCTGATGCTACTGCAGAGAGCAGCATCTGTGGCTGGCCGGGGAACAGGGAGGGCTTTGTGAGAAAGCTCCCTGGAGGAGGGGCCCTGTTCCGGGATGCCTGGGTGCTGGGGACGGGGGAGGGCGGTGTGCAGTCAGAAGAGCCCCTTCTGACTGTGCCCACCTGACTGATGAAGTGTCCCCCCAGAGTCACCGGCCTGAGAAGGAGTGGCCTGTCAAGAGCCTCAAAGTCTACCTGGGTGTAAAGAAGAAACTGCGGCCACCTACTTGGTAAGCCAGGGCTGAGGTGCCCGGTCTGTGGCTAGGACCTGGGGAGTCTCTGGACTGATAGGAGGGCCCAGCTGAGGTGGGGTGTCAAGCTTTCTAGGGGGTAGGCTAGTAGTTTTGTAGTCAGGGTCCTCTTGGCCAGTAGCATCACCTGGACATACCGTAGAAGCACAGATTTTTATCAGGTGTCACCCTGGGCCTCCTGAGTTTGGGCTCCTGTGGGTGGGACCCAGGGATCAATATCTCCTCCGGCTGTCCAGGTAACACTGCTTTTTCATATTTGAGAATCACTGGTCTGGGCTAGAATCTTGCTAGCATTGTTGAGAGTGAGTTTATGAGGTTTTTTGGGGGGGGTGGGGGAGGGGAGTGTGTGTGTGTGTGTGTGTCTGTGTATGATGTATGTCAGTGAGCATCTGGGTGCGTATACCCACACATGCTCATGTGGAGGCCAGAGCAGGGCTTGGAGTGTCCGCCTCCATCACTCTCTGCCTCTCCGTCTCATTCCCTTGAGGTCGAGTCTCAATGTTTCAGGAGGGCTGGCTGGCCAGCGTGCTCTTGGGACCCACCTGCCTGTCTCTGCCCACTCCCCACCCCCCCAAGTGCTGGGGTTATAGACACCCACAGCCATGCCCATCTTTTTATGTGATTGCAAGGGATTTGAACTCAGGTCATCATCTTGCAGAACAAGCACCCTTATTGAGCAGTCTCTCCAACCCTGAGTAGGTTTCAGTAAGTTGAGAAGTGGGGCATGCTACTGTGGCTGTCAGGCACTGTCGTCCCATGACTTGGTTTTCTAACTTTCTCTTCATCTGGTGGCCGTGTTTGGTTGACTCTGGTTCTTGAGTGGGCTTGGGCAGGCATCCGCACGGTTGGGTGGCCTTGTGGGTTTCGGTGCTGAGGGTAGAACCCAGTATCTCCGGCATGCTAGGCACACGTAGCATCCTCATGTCAGGCCCAGGGTTGGGGTGGGGAGGGAAAGGGGCAGTGGCCTAGCGTGCTGTGTTGGGGGAAGCCATGGCACTGCCTCTGCTCTGTCCGGGCTTCCGGGCTCTGTCTCACAAGTCTTGGCAAGTGTCAAGTGACACCCTGGCTCTTCCCTGCAGCTGGGGCTTCACTGTGGTCCACGAGACAGAGAAGCATGAGAAGCAGCAATGGTGAGCCAGGGCCCCGTTCTAAGGCCTGGGCCGGGGGCAGTGGGCAGGATTGGGGCTTGCGTCTCTGCCCAGTTTTATGGCCTGTAGGGAGACGGGACTGGCAAAATGCTTACTCTGAAAGGCAGCGACCTGACCCGTGCCTTCTGCAGGTACCTCTGCTGTGACACTCAGATGGAACTCCGGGAGTGGTTTGCCACCTTCCTCTCTGTACAGGTACCGGGTGCAAGGGCCTCCTCAAGGGGCTCCACCATGGGGAATGGGACAGGAGCAGAGAGATGGTGTCATAGGAATTAGGTCTCTGGGCACAGGGAGAGTCACCTGGAGGGGAGTGGCTTCTAGGTAGAGGAAACAGCATATTCAAAGGCCTAGGGGTGAAAAAGAAAAGGAAGGCTTATAAAAGAAAGCATATAATTTAAGGGGATTCATAGTTCCACAGGGTTAGAGCCCGTGATCGTCATGGAGGGATGGTGTTGGAGCAGTAGCTGAGACCTTATACCTCATGCACAAGCAGAAGGGAGAGAGAGAGAGAGAGAGAGAGAGAGAGAGAGAGAGAGAGAGAGAGAACGGGCCCTAACTGGGAATGGCATAGATTTTTGAAAATTAAAAGCCTCTTCCCCAGTGACATACCTCCTCCAACAAGCCCACACCTCCTAATCCTTCCCAAACAGTTCCACCAACTGGGGACCAAGCATTTAATAGAAGCCTATGGGGGCCATTCTCACTCAAACTGCCACATTCATCACTTGCAAGGAGAGAAGCCAAGAGTGCCAGAGGTTGGCCTGCAATGGGTCAGCTGCAGATTGTAAGAGCTTTGAGGCCACACTCAAGAAGCTGAACTAGACCTTGAGTTTCAAGTGAGTTAGAGTGAGGTGAGGGTTAAGCCTTGGCTCCCTCTGCAGGGAACAGAGCCTGAAGGGCCACACCCATGGAGAAGACATGCTGCAGCGGCTGGGTGACCACCCCTGATCCAGAGCAAGGCCAGAGGCTGTGTAGACGGGAAACAGATGTGTTAGAACAGATGTTCAGCAGTTCAGGACTGTTGAGGGAGAAGGGAGTCAAAACCACCAGGGCTCTGGGCTGAGTTCTTTCCTGCAGTTCTGTTTTAAATGTGAGCTTCCTGCTAGTCAAGGCCTAGATGGGAACAGTGGATTCTGCAGTTCTTGGTTGCCGGGAAGTGGAGGCATAGGACAGTGTCTTCTGGGGGGAAGAGTTTCTTGATGCTGCATTCTTAGGGAGGTTTGTGGATCCAGAGATGGGAGTTGTTGAGTAATCTGGCTGGCTGGGTTGTACTGGGATACGGTCATCTACAAACAGCTGCTTCTCATATCAGCCTTCGATCAAAGCTGAGGGCGGCAGCCTAGAGACTAGCTGGAGGCTTTTCTGAGAAGGGTGGGTGGATCTGGAGCTGAGCCTGCAAGCTGAAGTGTGGCCCAGACTCCTTTCTGATTGTCCCCTAGCATGACGGCCTGGTGTGGCCCTCAGAGCCCTCTCGAGTGTCCCGGGCAGTGCCCGAGGTCCGGATGGGCAGTGTATCACTGATCCCTCTGCGTGGCAGTGAAAATGAAATGCGCCGGAGTGTGGCAGCCTTCACTGCTGACCCCCTTTCTGTAAGTGGCTCTGGTCCCTGTGGGCAAGATTGGGGGGGGGGGAACCTGGCTGGATGCCTGCCTTCACTTCACTAATTTCTCTCAGAGCCCCTCTAGTCCCTTCCCTAGGTTTCTGGGGTGCCCTCTGTCTGGCCCTGGGAACCCCAGCTGCTGACTTTTCTGCATCTGTTGTTACTGCCTGGTCCCTTTCACTGTCACGAAGCACTCACAGGATCTGGGTTTCTGTGCTCCCTACAGCTCCTCCGTCATGTCTGAGCATAGGAGTCATTCTGGCTCTGGGACACCGTCAACTGCCACTAGGAAGCCTTCCTGTTCAGACACCCTCGTGCTCTGTGTGCTTGGTGTGAGCCAACGGAACACACGGGGAAGCCATACCCACACCCCACATCCTGATTGCAGCACAGGCTCCTTGGCTGGGCAGGAACAGGCCCTTCCCTGCTCTCCAGGCATACAATGCTCCTGACCTGGCTTGCTTACCCAGGCTCGCTCTCCTTGAGGTCGTGGGGTTGGAGAGATGGGCAGAAAGCAGGAGCTTGCCAAGAGAGGCTGGAGGACTTGGGGCCCCGCTGGGAGGGAGCCCACTCCCTTCCCATAGGCTCCAGAGCAGCAAAAAGGTGGTAATCTGAAAGAACTCCTAGGGAGTCTGGGAGGGAGCTGGTGGGAAGCTTTACCAGCTCAAAGCTGGACCTGGGGTTGTCAGCTCACTTCTGGTGTGCGCTGCCGGGAGGCCCAGGCTGTGGCTGTCTGCTACCCCTCCCCCACTTTGGATACTTTTTGATAATATAAATATATCTGTATATTTTACCCTGTGGTGTGAGGCCTGCAGTTGTTGTGGGGGGATTGGTGACCTGGGCTAAGGGCACCGTTGGTTGGAAGCCTGGAGCCTGAGCTCTGCCCTCTGCATGTTTCCTGAGCTGTGCCCTCTCCCCTGGCCTGGCCTCCACCTATTGCACCACTGCCCAGCCCGGCTATGGAACTCCAGATCCAGGACATGGCAGACCCCAGCTCGCCTGAGCCCCCCCTCCCTACAGCTTCTGAGCTGGGGCCTAGATGTGTATGTTGGTGACACAGCATAGCCCTCGCTGGAGACATGAGACTACAACTCACAGACAGAGGCTTTGGTGGACTAGGGAGGAGGACTTCAGGTCACCCGGGGCCCCATGCAGATGTTTCCAGATGTCTCTCATGGGGAGTTGCCCTCAAAGGGAACTGCCTACCTGCAGAGGAGGTAACCAGCTATTTAGAGATAGACTGGAGACTCCCTGGGAAGGTGCCAGGCATTCTGCCTTCTCTAGAGCCTTGTTATATCCTATCTCAGTGGCCTGGTGAGCAGAACTGCTGGAATTCTGTCCCTAGCCTTGAAAGGGGCCGAGCAGAGCGGAATGAGCCTGGGCCACATGACATTTGTGATCCCACTCAATGGGAAACTGGATGCTGTGAGGCTTTGCACACCCGGACGTGGGTCCTTTGTGGGCCTCATTTCTCAGGAAGGGGTAGGGTGTTTGCCAGGACAGACAGCACAAGATCCTTGAGCTCTACTGACCTGTTGCACAAGCTGGCCCAAAGTCTCCATCACTTTGTCCTCAGGGAGCTAGCTGTTCCAGGCCATTCTACCATGCCCTCCAGGCAGGGCAGGGCTAGAGGCCTTCCTTGCCCAAGAATTAGAATTCCTTGGATTTGATTTACTGACCAACCCCAGAGGCCCAGGAAGACAATGAGACCAGAGGTGACCTCTGCTGGACTGGTACTGTCATTACCGTGGTTTGGGGACTTGCGAGAAGGGCTGCGTTCAGCCACTAGGGGGCAACCATGGACCACTCATAGTTGCTCATTTTGAACAGGGTCTGTGTAACACCCCCAACCCCTCTCAAGTGATGGTCCTGGCTCTGGCTTTGTTCTGCTGCCAGCTGGACTACTCAGCCCTGCCTCTGGCCAGGGACTAGTGATGTGTTGTAAGGTAGCACTGTAGGAGTGCTTTGGCCTCGGCCCCTAGGACTGGGAGAAGGTAGAAAGCCCTTCACCCAGTGCCTACTGAATGCCTACTCTAAGTCTGGAGCGTGCCCTCTGCTCTCTGCTCTGAGATCTTGAATCTAGAGAAAGATTCTCACTGATCCTCCTCAGCTTTCCTCCTGCTTCTTGTGAGTGCTCCCTGAGAAGGGGACGGTAGCCAGCACTGTATGACACTGGAATGCTTTTCCTTGGAGTGAGGTCGCATCCCTGCGGGAAACTTTCAACCTCCACCTTCACGATTGGGGCACCAGGGCAGGAGGCTCTGTTGTCGCAGGGGTTCCTAAAGCCGGAGCCAATGCCAGAAGGGAGGACTGTATGTGTTCCTTTGGGTTGCTTGGGGTGGGAGGACCCTAGATTTATGGGATGAGGGAGCGTGGAGGAGGAAGGGCTTCCTGGGGGAGTGTGGTTGGGGGTAGGATTGGATATTGGGGAGGAGAAGAGGGGAGGGAACCCTAGGAGAGAAGGCTGCAGTAGGTCACAGGTACCTAGGGCAGGTGGAGTGCTAGAAGAGAAGGGCGGGGCTGGGTATGTGCATTTCTCGATTCTGCCTCCTTCAGTTCAAACCTCCTGTTCTGCACGGTATGCAGCAAGGACAGAGGAACCCTTGGCTCCAGAGAGCCCTGGGCGCACAGGCAGGATTGAGGCAGATGAGAGAAGAGCTTGACCCTGCCTCCCTTCCTTCTGAACCCTGGGGTTGGAGGAGACATGGAACTTCTTCTCTGGCGCCCTTCCCTTGTGGATGCCTGCCCACAGTTCTGTTGGGAAGGCACGGGTGTGTAAGCAGACATCCCCGTTAGAGTCTGTACGGCTCTAGCAGTTGCTTAGGTCTCCGATCTGTGTTCTCTCTGTGTCCTTTGGAGCTCCCTCCTGGCAGGTTCCTGGGAGCTTTGAATGAACAGGTGAGTGTGAAGTGCTAGTGGTACCCCTTGGTAGTCTCCCAGATATGTCTGCAGAGACCTCTTCCTGACATCCAGGAGGAGCGTTTGAGAGGGTCAACCAGCACTTATCAGTACTTACTGTGTTCAATTCTCATTCACTTGTTGAACACCTGCTGTGTGCAGAGCTCTGCTGAACACGTGGGACCGATGAGTAAGTGGTGTGGGGGAGGAGGGAACCCTTGAGGGGAGGGGCTGCTGATCAAAGAAGGTTCATGGAGAGCACAAGTCAAGAAGAAGGAGGGGAGGGGATGCTGAGAAGGAGAGCCTCTCCAAGGGAGGGAATGGCCTTGAGCCCAGACAAGTGCATACTATCTGCAGCAAGGGCCTGTTGTGGCTGGAGTCTAGCACCCATGCACACTCCAGGGCCTCACACCCTCACCACCAGACACCCCAGGGCCTCCCCTCCACACCCTGGCTGTCAGGACTTAGCTCTACCACCTACCCAGGAGACATGACCACATCCCTGTCTAATGGGCCCCTTAGGATCTTGTCCCTACCAGAAAAAGGCATCATTTCTGTTACTTAGGCACTTAGTGACCTGAATGACCCAGACCCTGCACTGGGACTATGTACACACACACACACACACACACACACACACACACACACACACACACACACAGAGAGAGAGAGAGAGAGAGAGAGAGAGAGAGAGAGAGAGAGAGAGAGAGAGAGAGAGAGATGCTAGAATCTCCCTGCCCCTCCTGTCAGGAAGTGCTTGGATTATCCTTCCTTCCCAATGTCCACGTTCTATGAAAACATGGGGAGGATCTGTACCCAGCTAGCCAGCAGCTCACTGGCCCTGGCACGGCCCCTCTTCTATGCTACTTTCAGCCTGTGGAAATTTCCACACTTTCTCTGCCCTGGTTACAGCTCCTACTGCTGTATTTATCACCCTGGAGACACAGTGACACAGGCGCACACAGGCCACATGCACACACTCGTGCTCTGCACACGCGTGCCTGCACACCTCAGCTTGCACTGCCGTAGCTGCAAGTGCAACATACACACACGCACACGCACACATGCGCACACGCATGCACACACTGCACGTGGAGGAACACCCACACACAAAGAGCTCTCTACGAAAATTGTTCCCCCTCCTCCTGCTGCTCCTCCCCCTCTTGTCCTCCCCCACCTCCCCCCTCTGTTCTGCCCGCCCACCACCACCCACAGACCAAAGAGCTGGGCCCGGACGGTGCCTCCCACCCCTTGTCAGCTGGGAGGCACTCTGCCTGGTGACTGGAGTGTGCTCTCCCTCCTCCCACCCTGCCCTCCCTTCCCCCTCCGCCGCTTCCCCGCAATCCTGTCTGTCTCCTCTGTGTAAGCCCCCTCTTTGTCACTCTTTGACTCCCTTTTGTCTCTGGAAGTTGAAGTTGGGGAACCCCCAGGACTGGTCCAGGCGGAGGGATAGACGAGGAGAGGTGCCAGGGACCTGCATCTCCTCAGCTTCCGGCACCTCCAGTCCTCTTGATGAGGGGAGGGCTGTGTGCCTGGCACCATGGAGACCAGTGTCATGGTAACACACTCTGGGTGGGCACAGTCTTCTCCTCCAGGGTTGGGGGGCCCATAGAAGGAGCCGCCACAGGCCTGAAGGTGGTGGGCCTTGTGCTGGTGCCCAGTGCTGGTCACCACCTCCTCCTGCGATCTGTCCCAGTCGTAACACCCACCCCCACCGTGTGGACTCACTCTGCACTCCAGGCTCGGGGCTCTAAGGCACTAATCCTCTCTGGACACTGCAGCGAGGATACTGCAAACCCCAGGCCAGCAAGTCCTGTTCTCGCTCTTGACTCTGTGGTCTTTTACCTTCCACGCATGTCCGTTTACTCAGGGCAGAGAGGTCGGGTTAATGTGGGTTTGGGCTTCCTGTGGAATCTCCAGCCAGCCCTGAGCCTTGGCCGTGATAGAATACAGCTGACACCGGCTGTCCTGAGGCCTGGTGTGTACTCTCACTTTTCCCTTAGGAGACCCAGGGTGGCCAGTAAGTGGCCTAGCAAGGACAGATCAGGCATGGGACGTGGTACCCACCCCAGCAGGTACTCTTTTCTTAACAACGGGCCAACTGTTCTCATTTGTGTCTTCCTTGCTGGAGAAGGTTCTCTGGCAGGTTCTGTAGCTTCATCTGGATCTGGCCTTGGGGTGTCTAGAAACCTGAGAGCTAGGTTTTTTTTGGGGGGGTGGGCGTGGCAGAGCCTTCCTCAAGTGGTTAGACCTAGGGAGATTTTGCAGCTCCACAATGCAGAGACCGGTTTCTATCCCTGTAAGAGTTATCTCTCATACAGACCAGAACCCACAGAGTCCAGGCGGAGACTGCTGCCTTCCAACCCAGGCTTGACGTGTCTCCTGACCTCTGTGTGATCACGTTGCAGCTGCTTCCCCCTGGCTTATGTAATCATTCAAATATAACAGCTGCCTTTATCCCACTGAGTCACACCCCCTCCCTCCCTCCTCAGGTGTGGGGAGTTGCACAGGAAAGGTAGAGCATGGCTGAGTAGGAGGCTGGGGGACTCCAGGCAAGGAGGGTCCTGGTGTGCTGGGTTGAAGGTGATGAGGTGAGCAAAACCTTAGAATAGGCGGTCACAGGGACCGCCTCTGCTTTGACCCATCCTGCTAAAACATCACATTGAGGGGAATGCCCCCTCCCCAGGTCTTAAGCTCTATCCACAGCCTTGTTTACTCTGTCCCTACTGGAGGAGAGGCAGGTGCTTAGGAAGAGGAGAAAGTAATTTGGGGCACGATGGCCAGGAGTCTCTGATTTGTGGTCCAGCTCTGCCCTTTACATCCTTTGAACCGGGATGTGTCCCTGGCCTGTTTGCCCATCTGTATAATGAGGGGTTGGACCTACTGCCCTGGCCTCTTAAGCGCCCTGACATGATATCAGCTTTGGGTACAGGCACCCAAGGATCTGGTCCAGCTGCGCTCCAGGCCTGGCCTCCCTCACTGCCTTTTCCTGGTTCAGCCCTGATCTCCTGTGCCACATCTGCTTAGCTCCTCCCATGGGACTGGGTAGGAAGCAGGGCCACTGGATTCTGGGTTGAGGGATCCAGTAGCCCTTGGCTCTCTCTTGATATCTTCCCATTGCCTCATCTCCAATAGTAATTGGAGATTACTACCCCCCACCCAAGGTCACCAGCACCCCATAGGTGCTGACACCAACCCATGACTCCTTAACTGTGGATTCTGGACCGCCAAAGCCACCTTCCTGAGATGCTGAAGAAGTTGTTCCACCCTAAAGCCGTTCTGGAGGCTGTAGTGGTCTTTCATGTCCTTGTCAAAGCAAAAGCTTTGTTCCTAGTGGTGTTTGGGGGCCCATCTTATGCCACCTATACCTAGCACTAAGAGCATATTCCAGGTCTTTCTCAATGGCATAATTCTAGGCATCAGACCTACAAGAAGCAGCTTCCTGGCCACAGGGGGAAATGCACTGTGAGGTCACTCTCTGAGCTACCAATTCATCTCTTACCTGCCCCTCATGGGTGCCCATTACCAAGACCCAGGGTGGACCCCCACTTCATACCCCTGGCCCTAGACAGGAGTCACCAGGGTATCCCAGACCCCCATAGAGCCCATGGCCTGCCAATTACTCCCCCGGCCAGTGGAGAGCATTGCACACTGCAGCATCGGCCTGCCTCAGGCAGTGGGGGACGGCACCCTCCCCCAGCTCCTTACTCTGTCCTCACTGCAACACGATCCTGGACATGAGCTCGGCTCCGATGGGCACTGCCTCTTTCCTTTCATCTCTCTCTGGACTTCTCCATCAGCATTCTTCCCCAGCACCCTTTGGCATAAAGGCTGGGCAGGGCTGGGACTTAAGGCCTATCCTTGAGGAAAGCAGGACTCAGCAGATGAAATAAGAAGAGCCTGAATAGGCAGAAAGAGGGGGTGGGGCAAATGGCAAGGTGGGGAAAAGCAGTCAAAGGCAGACCCAGTCCCAGGAGTGCTGGGTGGGGTGTGTGCTGAGAAGGGTGGGCCAGGATTTGGGATGGTCATAAAAAAAAGGAGAAGAGGGGAGGTCAGGACCCTGGAGGATAAACAGACTGTACAAAGAAAAGGAAGAGGAGGAGCCTGGAGAGGGAGCCCGCCCCTTTACTGCCTGGAGCAAAAGAGGATAGTGAGAGGTCCATCAGGGCCAGGGTGAGGAGCTTGGCTTTGACCCTCAGCCAGGGGTGGAGGGTTTTGAGGGGGCACAGCATGACCACATATGTCGGGAAGCTGCCACTAGGTGAAGCATGGATGTGGAATGTTGGCGCTGAACTGGAATTGGGGACTGGGGAGCGAACAGGAGAAAGAGGGGCAGAGATCAGGAACATTCGGAAAAAAAGTGGATGGATGTGAGGATCCACAGGCTTCTGGGGATGGGGATAGAGGGAGCAGAGGGGAGGAGAGAGGCCAAGCTGTGAAGTTCAGCCTAGGGACTGGAAGTTTTGCTGGTACTCCACACACAGTCAAGTTGATAGCTCACTACTTGAGTTTTGGGCCAATCCAATGTTCCCAGAGGAGATGGTCAGAGACATCCTCTGTGGCCTTTGGTGCTCCAGAAGAGGGCTGGGTGAGTTGTTGGTGTGTCTTGGGGAAGGATCTCTGCCCAGTGGGGCAGAGAGAATGAGGAATTTTGTTAGGAGCATCCACATTGTGGAGGCGAAGATAAGATGCGCCTGGGAGGGAGACAGAGGAGGGGCCCGTCTGGAAGGTGGGAGGGGAACAGCGGCGCAGGAGGAGGCGAGGGCTGACGCTGAGAAGTCGTGGTCCTGGGCAAAGAGAAGATTTCTGGAACCCGGCATCCTGCAGTTCTCCGGAGGCAAGGAGTGGCCGTGTGGAGGCCGATCCCAGAGAGACACCCTCCCATCCCTTTCGGCAGTCACCCTCATTCCTAGGAGCATCCTTCCTCCTCCTACTTGCTTCTACCGCGACCCAGTTAGAAAAACGAAAACAAAACAAAACAACCTGAAACGATCTTTGCTAACCCTGGTGTGAACCGCCGGGGCCTTACCTTGGCTCCGCGCTCTGGGGAGCGGCGGTGGGCGGGGTCTTGGGTGGGCGGGGTCTGAAGCTAGGCCAAAGAGCTAAGCGATTGAGGGGTGGGGGTGGGGTGGGGGCGTGGAGGGTAGGAGTGGGGAAGGGACACGCACGACACGAGAGGGAGAGTCTCGGACGAAGTCAACCTCTCACTCCTTTCTGCACCTCCCCCATGCAGATACTGCGCTGCAGGAGCCCCTGACTCAGCCTGCGGGACTATTACCTCTTGGGTTCCATCCCTTCAACTTCTTCCTCCCTGGGATAGGCAACTGTTTACTGGGAAATTCAGAGATGTTCCCCCAAACTTTACAGCTCTTTGTGTTTGGAATCTGTGACCTTGTCTTTCATGTGAGAAAATGAAATTGCAGTTCAGGGAGGTGAAATAACGTCCTTAGGCGTATGGCAGAGCTGGGATTCCGCTCCCATCTGAGCCCTGGAACCCACTTTTCATTGTTCTGGACCTAGACCAGAACAAACTGTAAGGTGTGGGCTGGCATTTGGATGAGGAGGAGACCGCCCCCCCCCCCCCCCACACACACACCGTGTTCCCAGGAGATTTCTGAGCAGGAAGCCACCGCTACTGTTTCCAGGTGGGAGAGCAGGTGGGCCTTGGAGCACCCACACCCGGAAGGTGCCCTCGTTTGAACTCTTCTGCCTAGCTCCACTGAAACCCCTCAGGTCTGTGAGCAGGTTCTGCTGGATCCAAGGGAGAGCTGTGAGAGACCAGCCATGGTCCAGGGGCTTGGGGAACACCTTCCCATCTCACAGGCCTGGAGCATCGCGGTCTGAGAGGTATCAGGCTAAGTAGAAAGACACCAGTTCTGAGCTGGCTCACCTGGCTTTGAACCAACCTGGCTCTTGTTCCCTCTGAATGAGAAGCGCTTTCCCCAGAGATTTCAGTGATTTCAAGGTCTATCTTTGGGGTCCCAAAGGGGAAGCAAAAGCTTCTTCAAATCTTCCCTGACATGTCTGAGGTTACAGCCTGCTGTGTCTACAATACTCTGCCTGGATAGGCTGCCTGCACAAGCTGGCTCATTCCTGCTCATCCATGCCCTTCAGCTTGGGTCAGGTTTCCATTAGATCTCAGGGGCTTCTCCGCCTGGAGCCTAATATGGGGGAGTGGCACTCCCGTCATGACTCAAGAGATGAGGTCACTGGTGAGACTCACTGTAGCACCTCCTTGGATTAGATCCCCCCTTCTGCCTGTAAAGACAACACAGAACCTCCTCTAGAAATGTGGCCAACTTCCTGTTTGGGTCAGGGTGGGCACAAGGGCAAGAAGCAGTTCGAGTCCTAGCAGGTGGGGCTAGCCAATGGTAGGTGTTTGTACATGGATCAATAAACCATTGGTGGAATCCGAACTCTATTTCCTTACCTCAACTGTCTCCCACACCCTCTTCATGGTGTGGCATTTTCTCTCCCACACATAAGAGAAGCTCTGCTGGGACAATCGCTTACCTGTTCCTTTGCTAAATGCCCCCATTCTCTTGGGCTAAAGCTTTATCCCAAGAAGTCCTTCTGGGGATGGATAAAAATGCAGTAGGCTTCCCTGATGCCTAGAACCTGTGGCCACTGAAGACAGGGGAGGGGCAGGCCATAGTCTGGGTACCCACAACTCCTAGAAGTTCAAGCATCAGCTCTCACTGTGGCCCAAGGTAAACTGTCATCAAAGGTAGGCTCCATGACAAGGCTGAGTCTGCTGTGTGACAACTCACACTGGGATGCACCCTAGGATATGACACAAAGACAGCGAGGATGCCCAGAAGGGGTGACAGCTAGTTCTGCATGAGGCTTTGCCGTCCCAGATTCAGAGGACAATGGTGTGTTCCCACCCGGAGGGACTCTGTGATGGGGCCTCAGAGAGTCTGGCTTATGTCCTTCTGTCCCTGGAGTGCCCAGCAGCATCCCTGCTCTCACAGCTTTGTTTCTTTCTCTGTGTGTTTCTGCATGCCTTTCTGGTCTCTGTATTTCCGTCTTGATCTTCTCTGAGGTGCAGCTCCTTCTCTCTTCCTATGTTTCTCTCTCTGTCCGTGTATCTCTCAGTCTCTCCCTCGGTGTGCCTTTTCTCTCCTCCCTCCTCTCCCTCTCTGTCTGGGCCTCTCTCTGTTCCTCCTCCATGCGCCCTCCCCCTTCTGCATTATCAGACCTGCTCTAGCCTCCTCCCAGAGCCAGCCTAGCAGCAGAGGCAGTAGCAGCCTGAGAGGCAGGCGGAGCCGGAGCAGTCCAGGCAGCAGAGCTGGATCGGGTGTTGAGTCCAGGCAGAGTCAAGAACCAGCCATTGCTCTCGCTTCCTGTGCCTGCTGGGAGTGCCCCAGCAAGAACTCCGGACAGGGTGGGGGGCAGGGCGAGGTGCCACCTTAGTCTGGCTGGGAAGGCAGATGATGAGGAGTGATGGGGCAGGCATGCGGCCACTCCATCCTCTGCAGGAGCCAGCAGTACCCGGCAGCGCGACCGGCTGAGCCGTGAGTACTCGCCAGGGGATCTGGGGTCTGGGTAAGCAGCAGTGAGAGGAGCCACAGATGGGGGCCGGGGAAGTCCTTCTAGGAACTGGGGTTGACATGGAGCTCAGCCACGTGGGAGGATCGATCCTGCTGGGGGCCTGGCTGCAGAACTGCAACCTAGTTAGGGGTCTCCGTGTAAGGGAGAGACGCCTGGCATCCACCCAGGAGGTGATGAAGCTGGGGTCCTAAAGATGGGTTCCTGACTGGGGGATGGGTGGTGAGGAGCCTGAGTTATGCTTGGGGTGGGGTGCAGGAGTTTGACCAAGGAGTTTCCAGGAGTTCTGGTGGCTGAGATGGGATGGTTCAGCACCCTGGAGAGGGACAACCTCTGCTGGGAGTGTTTTGTACAGGGTTATGGGGTGTGTGTGTGAGAGAGAATAAGGATATGTAGGAATAAGGGTGGTCCCAGAACAAGAGATGATCGGGGTGATATGTTCCATGGAATCAGGAATTAAGGGTTCAGGGCATTACTTTATGCAACTTCACCTCAAATCATCTGTCCCAGGATAGGGTAGAGAGAGCCATGGAGCTCCAGCTTTGTGCTTGTCCACATGCAGGAGCTGCATGTGTAGATGAAGGAGCCACTGTGAGAAGTTCCAAGGTGACAGGCAGGTGACAGTGTGTGTGTGTGTGTGTGTGTGTGTGTGTGTGTGTGTGTGTGTGTGTACCTGTGGAGTGTAGGGGACATCCTGGATGTAGAGGGGTCTTGAGGGTTCTAGGGTCCCTGGGGTTGGATGTGAAGCATCCTGCACGGGTTTGTGAACCCCAGCGTGCGGTTGTGGGAGGACACTGCCTGTGTCTGAGTGTGAGTACAGGCTGGTGTGTATATAAGGAGGTATTCCTGTCAAGTTGTTTGCATGTTGCCCTGCATGTGAATATGTGTGCTCTGTCAGAATGACTCAGTAAGCATGTTGCTTGCTTGCTTGAGGGTGCATTCACATCTCTGTGTTATTATGCCTGAATAACTGTTTTTTTTTTATGTATGTGTAGGTGGATCTGTGTGTTTGCCTACGTGTTCTGGTGTGGGTGTGTGATCATGGGGCTGGTGTGTCTGAATATGTGTGCATCTTGGTCTTTGTGTGACTGCTATACATGTGTGTACCTATTTATGTCCATTTATGTGTGTGGGTTTCTTTTCTTTGATGGCTGAATACACAGTTGGGACACTTTGGCCTACCCAGGGAGAGAGGAGGTGGCTGAATGTGTGACCACCTCTGTGAGCCCAGGACACTTCATTTTATACCCTGTGGAGAGATGCAGAAAAGAAATAGGCAATAATGGCCCTGCCCTCTGGGGCCTCCTAAGCTTCACAGACACAAAATAGCTTGAGAATAACGAAGCAATAAAGAGCAGCATAAGCTAACAGGTGGTGCATCCTGGGAACGGCTAAGCAAAGGCTGTGAGGTGGGACTGGGCGGAAGAGCAGGGAGGAAGCTCTATAGATGTGTGGTTGGAAATGGCTGCAGGGTAGGCAGGACTCACACCTTGCAGGACTTTGAACTCCAGATCCCATGGGCTTTTTCTGGAGGCCCCAAGGGAGCCTTGGAAAGTTTTTATGCAGGGGAGGCATATGAATATTTAGGCAGAGGAGGGATATGATTATATTTGGGTATGAAACCTGTTTCAATGGCACTGTTGAGGTTAAGCTTGTTCAGGGAGCTGGGTCCAGAAAAGGAGAGCAGGGGCCAGGCCAGTTCAAGGAGCCATGAGGTCTGAGACCCAGTCGGCCAAGTCAGCCAAGGGTCAGATGAGAACAGAACTTTCTGTAGCAGATCTTCAGGCAGAGGAGGGAGGGAGGGAGAGAGAGAGAGAGAGAGAGAGAGAGAGAGAGAGAGAGAGAGAGAGAGAGAGAGAGAGAGAGACTAGCTGAGGTGCATGGTGGCAGGAATCAGAGTTGCCGTTGTCTCTTGCTGGTCTCCCCTGGCTGCCAGGCTAGAGCTGGACCTTGTCCTCAGCCTGGTCCTCAGAGGCCCTGGCAGCCTTCTCCTTTGGGCTGACCTAGAACTCCTGGCTGCTCTGGGTCAGCTCACCTGGGAGTTAACTGCCTCTATGCTCCCTGCAGCCCCAACCCCAGCTCCCCCTGCCCACCAAGTAGCTCCTGCCACTCTTCCTGCTTCCCACTCCAGCCCTTGTCCCCAGAGACCACTGATGGCTTATCTGGGATCTAGCCAAATGGTGATGGGGAGGGGGGGAAGAACTCCCATCAGTATCCCGCTCAGTCTTAATGGACTGGAGTCTCACTCTCAGATATACTGCTGCCAGGCTTACATTTCCCTAGCTTCTGCTACTTGGGACTGTAAAATATGACCCCACAGCCTGGTTCCTTCACTCACTCACTCACTCACTCACTCACTCACTCACTCATTCATTTGTTCATCAATAGGAACTCCCCAGAGCCTGCTTGGTACCCATGACCTGGTCATTAGAGACACTGAACCCACACTCACACTCAGAACATGCTCAGTGTGAGAGAGACAGGAGTGGAAACTGACACCACACAGTGTCACAGAGCTGTGTGGGGAAGAGTCTGAGGAAGACATGCTTGCCTGGGCCCTGAAGGATGCTCCCAGGCAAAGAGCAGCAGAAACAATGTGTAAAGATTGTAGGGTATGGAAGGTTCAGTGTCGTCAAGGGACAGAACGAACTCGGCCAGGCTAGAGGGAGCCAGAAAGGAGATGGAAAAGAGGCAAACAGGGCCAAAGGGTCAACTTTTGTAGGGTCTCCAATTTCACCCCCATGAGCAGCTTGGAAGCAGAGCTAGAGAAAGGTTTTCAGATAAATTGCCTCTGCTAGGGAGCCCTCATAGATCGACTCTTCCTTCTAACCCATAACTCACCCTGCAGTTTTGATCCCTGATGGGCCAGGATTGAGAATGTGGCTCAAACGCAGCCTTGTGATGGCTGCTGTATGTGAGTCCTTTACCCACCCAGCCAAGCAGTTCCTACATGGAGGAAGCTGCCTTATCTTCCCACCCTACTCTACAAGGTATCTTCTCCAAATCTCGGGTATCATAGCAGTTGCTCCCCTTCTCTATCGTGTGCTGGTCGCTCTGTCCAGCTTCTGACTTGCACACCCCCAAAGATACTCATCCCTTTCTGCTTGGGTAACCTGTTTCTTGAGAGCAATCCAAGGCCGTTTACTCAAGGTATTTGGCTTGGCTTTATGTCCATTCTCCATGCTGGGTCATTGTCCTTATCCTAAACTGGTGCATGCACGGGCAGAAGTGGTCTAGGAGGGGCAGCATCCCAGGTTGGAAGAGGGAAATAAGCAGCTTCTAGTGAAAATACATAGTGAGCTGAGTGGGGGGCCCTGACTCTTCTTTAGAAACCATGATGCCTGGTCTACAGAGCGAGATCCAGGACAGGCACCAAAACTACACAGAGAAACCCTGTCTCGAAAAAAAAAAAAAAAAAAAAAAAAGAAAGAAAGAAAGAAACCATGATAAAGAAACAAGCATGGCCTGAAAGAGAGTGAGGATAGACCATAAGAAGAACTTCCCTCGACCATAGCAGGGCTGTAGAATCTCCTGGCTGAGTGAGTGGAATGATGGAGGAGAAAATGTCCCAGAATGGGAAAGAGCAGGAGGCAAGTCTTTATCCACTCGTGAGCCTCCCACCGGTGACCCAAGTCAGCCAGGGAGAGGGAGAAGGGCCTGAGAGACAGAGGATCATTCATTCGGCAGCCTTTTCCGGTAATGCTGCCCAGCTGAGCATTGCATTCCTAAAGGAGATGGGCAGAGCCAATGACCATGGTGGAGGAAGGAGTCACCTTCCCTACCTGTGCCAGGGCCATTGGAGCAGCCTTAGAAGGAAGAGTCACTGGCCAAATCGCAGGGGAACTCTAAGAAGAGGGCACACAGTGTGCAAAGACCGGGAGGCAGAGCTAGCATGGTTCGGCCGATGCCAGGACTAGCAGAGTTCAGAGTGGCCTAAGTATGAAGTGCATTCTGGGAGGGAGGCACTGAAAGAGGAGCCAGTAATCAAGGCCAGACTAGAGGTAGCACTTCCAGCCATGAAGGTGTCTCTGACGTGTCAACGGTCTTGTTAATGTGCAACATTTTTGGTTGCTCCTAGTGCCCCTGTCCAGGGCTGTCAAAAGACTCCACACTGATTGAGAATGGGTGCTCAGCAAAAGAAGCGGAGACCCTAGAAATGAGGGCAAGGCAGTGTTTGAAGAATGTGAGCCCTTCCAGAAAGGGGCATGCAAATGAATGCAAAGCAGTATGCAAATCAGCCCATTGTGCTTGGCAGCTTAGGCTCTGAGAATGAGACATCACCTGCTTCCATGCTGGCCTCCCCTTCCCTCTGCCCCAGGCTCAGGCAGGCATGATGGCCTCATCTCTGCTCCAAGTGCCCTGGCTTGTCTGACCCACAAGACTATGGCCTCCAAGGTGGGGACCACGAGCTCCCTGTCAGTTTCTCAGTCCTCTTGGGATGTTGATATATTTAGTAACAGGGATCTTTTCACACATTTATCTCCCATTGTTCAGCTGCCCGCTCCCTGGGAAAGGCCAGTTCCCTAGTGATGTGACCCACTTCTTGAAGTCCCTGAAGTCATCCTCTCACTGCCCCTTTCGAGGCAGCTGGAACTTAGTGAAACAGAAGAAATCTGTGTCTGATACCTGGGAGGACTTCCCAAGATTGTTGCTGAGGCGTGTGAACCTTGGGGCTTCTGGGATATTCCTCTTCTCCGGGTTCGGAAGAAGCTTTGAAGACAGGCAAGGAAAAATGGCAAACAGATAAAGGTTTTGCCTGGATCCAGGTGGTCCCGGGAAAGTTGCTTGACTTCACTCTGAACCTCAAACTAGTAGCGCAGTAGCAACAACCCTCCGGTCCTCACAGAATGGTTGTGAAGAATCTGGAAGCACAGACTTAGCAATAGGAATGCAGCGAGTGTGCGTAGAGAGGCTAGCTGCTGCCACTGTAGAACACCCACACTCACCTACACTTTTAGACCACGGC